CCCAGGCCCCAAACGTGAACACAGCGGGATCGCAAAGGTCGCAGAATGTGCCTAATCCACCTAGGAGGATAGAAGGATACGGCACGTCAGCAGCCATCTATGCATCATTCATCTCTGCAGTCACTGGTGCAATAAGCCTCCAGCTAATTCGGCGCCACGGCGCAATACCCCTTGGGTCACGTACCCTCTTCACAGCCGTTGAGAAAGATGGCTACGAAACTCGAATAGCTAATGATAGTTACACCGCGACACCTTCTTTGAGTATTCTGCACATTCAGTTGACGTCTGGTGGAAAATTAACCGTGGCCTTACAAACAATAGCCCAGCATGGCATTTCGCGACTTCAAAGCCCAAAAAATGGCCTCGATAAACTCCGTGACACCCAGCCAGGACTTGATATCTGGCTCTCCCCTAATGCAACAGTTGCCAGGTTGGTCTCATTCAATACAAGTTCACAGGATAGCATCTCCCCAAATCCTTCTGGTGGTAATGACGCTTCAGGTTTGGCAGCCGTGAAACGTTCACAATGGAAACAGTGTGTACTTGAGTGGCTCGGCAATTTTGGTCTTCTGTTTGATTCTCATGAAGAAGAACAGTGGATTGAAGTCGAAGTCTGGGAACCATTTTACTCTCGGTTGGCTGGAGAAATATTCCGACAGAGTGAAGAAGGTCCGACTGCTTTTCCATTGAAGCGTATTCTCTGGCCAGCTAGATACTGCTTCAGAAGGACTAAATCAATAGCATTGGATGCATCCTATGGGAAACAAGATTCTTGTCACCTAATGGATAGCCCGTTGGGGCTCGCGGATGAATGGCACGTAACAGGGAACTTCGTTCATGACGAAGCTACCTCTATAGCTCCATCCGGGGGCTTTCAAGATCAACCTATGAGGGACTCCGAAATCTCACCTTCCAAAGCGGAATTCCCTGAGCCACTGGAAAGCCTTTCCCGGATTGCACAGTATCCCGATCTTCAAGCAACAAACCTTGTATATCCGACTCCGCCAGATGGAGCTACAGCGCTTTCATCAGATATGTTCGCTGATCAGCCAGACCTTCCATTGCCTCAAACTCAGCATCGTGGTCAACCAAAACTAAAACAAGCATCGTTCAAAGAGCAAGCTGATTCTGGTATCACTATGGATATTGGGCCTTCAGCAGGGCTCACAGTTGGGTCTGGGTTATACGATATGAACGGGGATGATGACCTCTTTGGGGAAATAAACGATCGAGATTTCGGGACTCGAGGAATAACAGATGCCGATTTTAGCTTCTTTGACGATCCAGATTTTGGGGATATGGGAGAAGCACCTGCTGCCGATAATACTCAGAGCACTCCCAATATTGCGGAGGCTAACTTGAAGGAAGACGATGAACAGCCGAGCCCTGACTTTCCCCTTCCAGATAGTCATGTGGTGACAACTGCTGAAGGGATGAATGCGCCTCAGACTGATGTTGCAGAACAGGAGGCGGTGATTCCCTCAAAAAGGGAAACTTCAGAGATTCGCATGTCGTCACCCCGGGAAGAAAGTAGTCAACCAATCAGTCCTCCTCTCAGCCCAGTTGAAGTAAAGAAAATACTCTTTTCGGAATCAGATGATGGAGACCAATCAACTGTTAAGCGAAAAAGAAAGCAGAGTCATTTTACCCCAGTATCTTTCAAGCAAAAAATAGGCGATTGGAACCAAAAGTATGGAGCGGAGGGTAGATTCTGGTTCTCAGGTCCAGGGGTGAGCACTGTCATGGAGTCTGTCAATCCCCCAAACGATATCCCAACCATCGGACTTCCTCGCCGCAGTGGCAAGGCTGCGGTAAAATTTGATAACCCGGCGGTTACAGATGAACAGGATGTTTTATCAGGCGACGCAAAGGGAAGCTCACATTCTACTTCGGATTCGAGCAGTGTCTCCAGCGATGATGATGACAGCGATGAGGTCATGTCAGAGAGGGAACCATCTCCTGTTAACCTGACGCGCAAGAGGAAACGTGCTCAATCAAACACAAGCGGTTCAATAACACAAGTTCTAAGCAACCCTTTGGTAGAGAACGCTCAATTGGTCTCTGCGAGCAAGGCTGAGAATTCAACATTTCTGGGTAATCTTCTCTCGACATTTTCTGATTGGTCTTTATTGGGGTATTTCTCCGTCTCGCAAAATCAGCAGCCACCTACAATTTCTCAGAAGGACGAACAGATTCAGGTTGCTCAGTTGTTGGTTGACCAGATTACGCAGTCATCACTTGATCATGTAATTGATGGGCAAATCGGTCTCTCCGGGCTGGACAACGAGATGTATACTCTCCGCAACATCTTCGAGGATACGGTGTTCACGGATGAAGTTGGCAGGTTAGACCTAAAAAGCTATGCATTACTGCAAAATGACTCGTCACCACCGTCGTCAGAAGGCCTGACACCCCACCAACTGCCACAGCGAAAAGAAGCTGCAAAAGGTACAATATCAAAATTAGTACCACCGCACCTGCGCATCCGCCGTGGAAAAGGCTATCTAGAAGCATTACCACCCGCAATTTCCTTCTGGGAAACGTTTGACTTGGAGCCTGCACACGGACCAAAGGACATATCGGCATACTGCATCCATCCCCGGGTCATGACAGATGCGGCAGACGCGTTTTTGGAACGATTGGGATTACTTTACTCGGCCTGCAATCTTGGTAACCATGCGCGAGGGGACATGTGCTTTGAGCGTGGGTTGGGCTCATGGAACACGGAGGTGTCCAGCTATCTTTCCACTGTGCAGTCCTTGAGGGGTTTGTGCGAAGAGCTAGGTATGTTAATCTTCCAATTATCATCTGGCCACATACTGATGAGTACTTTCAGGAAACGCCCTTTCAGGCAGTCAGCCAAGGACTGAGAACTTCGTCGTCTACGTGATCAATCCATTCACGCATGCTGCAGCATTGGCCGATATCTGCGCTGCTTTTTGGCAACTATTTCAGAAATACATCATGGGTACCGATAATCAGCAGGCCGGGAAATTCAATGAGCTTGTACTACAAATCATCCCTATCAGCTTCGTCATGTCTCCAGAATCTATAGTTGTGCCGTCGCAGTCAGACTATTTGAGCCTAGCTCTAGAAGTATACAGTCGATGTCCATCAAAAGATTCGGAATCAAATCTCGTCCATTGTGCTCCACCGGTCCTTCTCACAGAGTCTGCACCGAAGGCAATTAGCTTCAAGCTTGTCCCTGAGAGACTGTCACCACTGCAGGATGGAAGGAGTCTCCATATTGCCTGCTCGCGGAGTCTTGATCAACGCTGGATAACCGTGGCCTGGTCCGATAACACCGGGGCTATTCAGCGAATGATGTCTTACTGCCTCCGTTATCGAAATTCAGGCGCTGTTCGAGGCATCTCCGACGTGCGCAACGAGATATGGGGGACAACGCAGACAATCATGGACAGAATACAAGCTAGGTGGAGGATTATCATCGTGAATACTGAACCTGTGGATCAAGACGAGCTTGACAGTAAGTGTTCCACTGTTCTTGAGGCTCTTCTTGCGTTACTTACCATTCTATAGCCTGGACAAATTTGGCTGAGCAGCACAACAAATCAAAGCCAATCCCATTGGATTTGATGATATTACATGTCAACGCGACTACCGACTTTTCTCTCGAACCTCCATCCCTATTAATACCCACGAGTGTGTTCAATGCGCAAGCTTCATCAACTCCTGTTGCCACACCCGGTCCTAGTGCGGCATCACCAGACCAATATGGAAGTGCGCCAACGCCCACTAACGGTGGTAGTGCACCTATGTCGGCCACTACGCCCGATTTCCAACCCGAATCAGAATCAGATTTTTTCCTTGCTGATATCCGTGATGAATCGTGGAATGTCATTCTGTCACATCGACTGAACAGCTCCCCGTATCTGACAGAGTACCGTCCCGCACTTGCCAGCGGGTATTTACTTCGTCGAAAAGGTCCTACAGACGGTGATGGGGTGTTCGCAACAAACGTGAACTTGATTCATTCTCGGCATCCAACGTCGTCACATGAAACCCTCCTTAAAGAGATACTCGGGATGTACCACGATTTAGCAATACTTGCGCGGGCCAGAGGCACACGATGTGTGCAACGGAATACACTGCCTTGGCATATCGCCACGGCTGTCAGGGCACAGGAGCTTTTGAGTTATGTTTTTTAATCCTCAGGAAAGGGCTTTTTGTGTGGGGCGTTTTCGGAAGCATCTTTTGTTTATTTACTTTCTTCTATCACTTTGTGTATATACATATATTTTTGTTTTGTCAAGGCTGGATATACCATTTTGCATATTGTTTTGTTTATTTTCTAATTAGTTATCAATGTGCATCTAAAATTGCATTATTGTCGCAGGAATCATCAAGAGGGTGTCTCCTGACAGAGTATCTAGATATTCTCAAATTATTTTAAACAGCTGTCGAAAGGAAATAGTCTTTTTATAGCGCTTCGGGTTGAATATATTTCTCGTGTACTAGCAATCCCCCATCACAGCGTTATACAGCCAACGGTCTAATAAAAAAGAGAGAGCAAAATAAAAAAGAAGACCCATGACTACGTATGAGGTTAAAAGAAAAAAAAACAAAAAAAACCAAAAAAACATCGCTGTGCTGCCTATTCTAATTTGGATTGGCTTATGTAACTAGAAGTGCTACGGTTCTTCAACAGCATCCGATATGGTGTAATGGTTAACATCGCCGTCTCTCACACGGCAGCTCGGGGTTCGATTCCCCGTGTCGGAACATATTAGTGATTTCTTTTTTGTTTTTAAAATCATAAAGGATTTTTGTTTTTTATTTATTATACTTTTTTATTCAATCCCAATGTGAAAAAGGAACGCCGGAGTCAAAAGAGCGATAAGATCACATGACTTGTCATATCTAATCGCCCGCTGTCGATCTCGAAAAAATTTCGAGATGTGCCCGCATCAGCCCTCTCTTATTTGTGCCTATTTTATACTTCGTTGGCCAACAAGGTTGCTCTTCACTGACATTTAAAACCGTGATAATTGGATGCGCTATATAATACAAATTACATATTGCACAAATCGAATATTTCACGAGTCGAAATCGCATTTATCTCCCACTTTCAAGCGCATCTCTAATACGTTAACCAACGAAGGCGCATACAAAGGAACACCCCCTGAAGCCTCTTTTACAAAACCACTACCAAAACCGCTACCAAAACCAATCTACACCATACCACACCATAAAAACCAAAATGACCACCCAACAACCCGAACGTCAATCCACCCAACCCGCAACTTCCTACCTCGACCTCGGCATAACCCTTGCCATCCACGCCTGGCCCTCCCTCTCCCTCGCCGTCCAATCCCTCTGGGGCGGCCCCACCTCCTCCGACAAACGCGACTGGCTCTGCGGCGCAATCTCCGACATGCTCACAGAGCGCCCCGAGACTGACGCCGAGGACCTCGAGGACGTGCTTATCCAAGTGATGAACGACGAATTCGACGTGGTTGTTGAGGATGAGAGCGCGGGGCCCGTTGCGGCGAAGATCATGGAAGTGAAGACGCAGGTGCAGAGGGGTGATGTGGCGGGGATTCAGGATATGTGGGAGAATTGGCAGAAGAAGAGTCAGCAGAAGGGGAATGTGGCAGCGGGGTTTAAGAGGGGGGAAGATGAGGATCAGGAAACGGATGATGAGGTTGATGAGGAGGGTGGGGATGTTGATATGGGGGAGGCGCCTGCGTTGGTTAGGGCTCCGAAGGTGAAGCCTCAGCCTGAGATTGATGAAGATGGGTTTACTATGGTTGGGAAGAAGAGGTGATTTTGGTCTGGATAGCGCGTGATTCAGGTCTTGCTGTATGTATTGATTGACATTTACGACTTCATGATATAGACATGGTAAAGATAAGCAAAAGTTTTAGCGGGATTTAGTTGAAAGATCGTGGACTGGTAGCAAGATTCCAGTCTATTCCCATTTTTTGACAACAGCAATGAAACAAATATAAAGACAAAAAGAAAAGTATCATCATCATCATCAACTGAGGTAGGCTGTACATGGGATATCATCGCCTAAACCTCTGCCCGCCCAAGCCTCCCTCTTCTGTCTATCATGGGATGCTTTTACCTGACCCTGTGGCACGATGCCTTTGCGGACGGTAGCCGGAACCGGTGAAATGACATGATTTTCAAGAGAATATCAAGTCGCCAGTTTATTTGTCCTCATTAGCGATGAGCTTGGTGATCATACCAATTGCAACGGTTTGTCCCTAGTATCATCGTCAGTATGTGGAATAGAAAGGAATCGTGTAAAAGAAAATCGCTTACCTGGTCACGAAGGGTAAACCGTCCCATTTGGTTGTAGTCCTCGAATCGTTCAGCACAGACAGCACCAGCAGTGCTGGTAACTTCGATGCGAGCAATGATGGTTTGGCCCTTGCTGGCGAACGGTGGTGGACGTTTGCTCTTCCGGCCGGTACCAGGTTCACACTTATGCAGGAGCTGCGAAATGGTAACCTCTTCAACAGCAGAGTGAATGTGTATAACGCAGTTGTAACCAGCAGTGAGGATGCTCTTGAGTTCGAGGATCCTGATCTTGGCTTCGAAGGCAGCAACGGTGTGCACGGGACGCTTCGGAGAGCAGAGGACGAAACCAGGCAAAATATCATCTTCTTCCACGCCACGAAGACGCATACGGACCTGGTCACCACAAGTGCCTGTCGTGATCTCGTCTTCAGTTTCACCGTAAAGGGCGGCAACATCAATCTTAGTGCGGTTGGGCATCATGATGCAGCTGCTGTTCTTCTTGATCACACCTGATTCAATACGGCCCTCAACCACGGTACCCATGTCACGGTACTTGGCGCTAATGGGCATCATGAATGGTGCGTTGATCTTCCGTTCGGGCATCTTCATGTTGCCGAGGTATTCAAGGAGCGAAGGACCGTCGTACCAAGGAACGAGCTCCTTAGCCACGCGATCCTTGATACCGAAAGTGCGCTGTGCAGAGATAGGCATAAAAGTAAGGTCATCCTTCTTGTAACCAAGCGCTTCTAGGAATTTCGAGACCTTGACGGTACATTCGTCGAAACGAGCCTTACTCCACTCGACACTGGGATCATCCATCTTGTTGACGGCGACAACAAGCTTCTTAACGCCTGTATTTCTGGCAAGCAGAGCATGCTCCCGAGTTTGACCTCCCTTTTCGAAACCGGTCTCATATTCACCCTTACGGGCAGAGATGACCAAGACACCGACATCGGCCTGCGAAGCACCACCGATCATGTGATGAACATAAGCCTTGTGACCGGGAGCATCAAGAATAGAGAAGTCACGCTCGATGGTGCCCTCGGGCGACGGAATGTCGAGTTTGAAGTGAGCACGGCCAACCTCAACAGTCTTACCCTTGGCTCGTTCTTCGGGGTTCAAGTCCAGAGCCCAGGAGAGGTACCAGGTTTCACGTCCAGCCTCCTTAGCATCCCTCTTGTACTTCTCCAAAGTTCGCTCGTCGACCATTCCAGTGACATACAGAATAGAACCCCCCAGGGTGGACTTTCCGGCATCGACGTGTCCGATGAAAACAATGTTCACGTGCTCCTTCTTTTGACCGTAGATTTCCTGCAGCGTCGCCTCATCTACATCTGCTTTTTGTTCCATAGCAACAGCATTGGCATCCCGTGCAGCGTCCCGCGCAGCCTTGGCAGACTCTCCACGACTAGGGCTCGAACGACCCGACGAAGGAGTAGGAGACGACTTGCCACTGGCAGCAGCTTTCGATTCCGCTTTCTTATCCGTCTTGTCAACAGCTTTGCTGGAAATCACCTTAGCTGCAGTATCCGCAGCCGCAGGACCCTTGGTGTCACCCTTGGACTCTTTGGCGTCTTTCGAAGCGCTCGTTTGGGAGGACGTGTCCGGAGTTCCGATTGAAAGGACCTTGGTCTTAGGAGCGGACGCGGAAGAAGAGGAGCCAGCGCCGCCAATAGAAAGAACCTTAGCCTTGGGGGGAGCGGCATTGGAGGGTTTTGGCGAAGATGGGGCAGCGGCTTGACGGGGTTGCTGGGGTTGCTGCTGGAACTGTTGCTGCTGCTGGTTGAAGCCCTGGTTAAAGCCCTGGTTAAAGGCACCGGGTTGCTGAGCGTATGCTCCTGCCCCATATTGACCATACTGCTGCTGCGGATAACCGCCGTACTGGCCATACTGGGGGTATTGCGGGAAGCCGCCATAGCCCTGATAGGCGGCTTGTCCGGGTACAAAAGCGGGAGCACCAGGAACGAAGGTAGCTGCGCCCGGCTGGAAGTTGGCAGCAGCAGGGTGGAAGGCAGGCGCCTGAGCCCGGTTGTTCAGGTTAACGCCCTCGGTCTGTCTGGAGAGTTCCTCCTCCCAGGAATCAGGAGTTTGGTCCGCCATCTCGAATAACAATTAAGAAAGAGTGAAGTTAGACGACGAACACACCAAACAGCAAGGAATCCGCTGGTTTTTAAAAGGGGTATGAGTTATTTGAGGGTTGCCGAAAGAGTCATAAAGATCTGACGAGGGGCGTTGTTGGGCTCAATTTTGCACAAGATGACTCAGCACAGCCCTCCCCGCTTTGGGCGTCTATGGCGTCTATCGCGTTAGGTACTATCAGGCACTGTTTGTGCTTCCTTGGTCGCAAAAAACAAGCACCTGTGACTTATAGCGCTTTATCTAAATGAATAGCCTCTATAATATCTGCTTCTCATTAACCCTATTCCTTTTTTACTAGTTCCATGTTCTACTATACGCCGCCACAATCAGTGGCTTGTTATCGATAAGGCAAGCCCCTCGACGCTCAGGGGCCACATACAAGCAGGACTACAGTCAGTGTTTGGACCAACGTTTGGAAATTTCCCGAACCTTGGGTATCAAGAGGCAAATGCGACTGTCATACCTGCCTGACTCAACATGGACCAGTTTCTGAATAGGGTACCTCAAGCCTGCTCTTAGAGAGTCATGTAGAATTTTGACGCTGACATCATTGGTAGCTTACCCAACAGGCTATGAACTATGCCATTCGGTACGTTTAAGTGGCTCTTGTTATCTGAAAACGTATTACTTGGAAGGCCAATAGACTGACGTTGAGACCTCTAGTTCGGGAATCACAATCACTGCCAGATATGCTATCCGCGAATCGTCTCGTCTGCTGAAGGTATTTGGTCCTTCCCTGTTGATCCGAGTACCATCCAAAGCTTATTGATTGCTATAGAATGTCGACCACAGTGAAGAACGGGAGGAGCTGGTTGTGCTGCAGCAGCGTCTGGAAAGCAAGATCCAGGTTTGTTGTGCTAAGAACACCCCGCAACGATGAAAGGCTAACTCCAAGGAAGGTCATTTCCCCTGCAATTGATATGATTGAGTTGATGTAAGTCTTTTGGATAGAGACCCAAAGACCATGGAGTCTAATCTAGTCTCAGAGCTGCGAGAGGCAATACTTCTCTTGAATCCGCGGTTTCTCTCACAAAGTCTCTCCGATGGGATATCCAGGCTTTAGGCCAGCGACTAGCTAGAGCTGCTGCATTCGAAGAGCTGATCCGAAAAGGTGGCAAGTCGCCAGGTGATCGGGCCCAGAATGATGCAGAAATAAGGTTCATAATAAAAGATATCAAGAGACTACTCGTCCGAATTGAGGATGCAGTCCCGCTTATGAACTTGGCCATCACTACATCGGGTGCCAGGCTGTCGACCAACTTGCCATCGGCAGTGTCACCGTCGAGATTGCTACAGGCTAGCACATTTCTCACCGCTGGAGATACACAATATTACATGTCACCGTCGCAAGCGATTCAAATCGGACCCACGTTCACTCTTTCGATGTACATGCTCTTTGCTAGTCACCTCCGTCCACATGATGAAGAAGGTATTCGTGAAGCAACATGGAAAGAGGTCATGCATAAAGCACGAATCAAACTTCGACGGGTGCCCATAGATTCCGCAACGCCATCAAACGCACAGAAATCCCAGCTTCCTGCGGAAGCAAGAGTGGAAGAGTACGCTTATCAAATCCTTATCATCGAAGACCTAGATGATGGCAGAGTTCATACCTTTGAAGAAAACGGCCCACAAGCTTACAGCTATGAAGGCGTGGGCCAAGCCGGGATGCGGGAAATTTTTCCTATTCATCAGATCTCCAAGATTTTCTATGCAGACACTGGGAGGATTCTTAACATTAGTACGGAAGGTGAGGTGAATAACCCTGTCCTACTCTTGAAGAGAGACGTCAATGCTGTGCCACCACGACGTATGATGGAACGCGAAGAAGCAGATTCCGACTATCTGAATTCGGATGACGAGAGCGAGGATGTCGATCCAGTGCAGGCACAGCTTGATGCCCAGTTGGGAGCAGACACCCCGAAACCGAATCACGATTACTCTGAAGACTCGATTCCTGATGAGTGGCGGTTGCCACAAGACCTAGATCCCGAGTGGATAGCATTCGAAGTCTACAACGAAGACGAATCCTCAGACACAGACTCCGAAGCAGAAGCCCCAAGCACCCCCACAAAGACCAACACAGTCGACCCGCAGCAAATGGCAAATCTATCTCTAGACGATCAAGAAGAATCACCTTTACCATCCCAACAAAGACTCTCCCACCACCCATCCTCCCATAACGACACAACAACCGTCTCCAACCCTCTCTTCAACAACATCCGCACGTCCCTCTCCCTCCTCGAAACTCTCCTCCGTCTAATGTCCCTTCAACAATTCCAACAACAATCCCACCTCTCCATCACCGACGAACTCCTCAACTTCTTTCTCGAAGAATCCTCCACCACCGGCGCCGGCGGTGACGAGCAACACCGCCAACGCCTGCGCTCAGAAGCACGACGAAAAGTCGGCTGGGATCCCTATGACGAGAGCCCAGTTAAGCGACGTGGTGAGGATTATCAGTATGGGACTCCTGGTGGATATGGGTATTCGCGTGAGAGTAGCGAGTATTATCAGCCGCCTTTTTCGCCTAGTGAGAGGGCGAGGATTGGGTTTCATCTTCGGTCGAGAGAGGCTACTCCTGAGACGCCGGTGCAGGAGAGGCGGTCGCCTTCGGTGCAGTCGGATCGGAGGAGGTTGAATGTGGTGCGTGGTGGGGATGAGGCGTTGAGAAGGGGGTCGCCACTTTCGAGACGGTCACCTACGGTGCCCGTTGATGATGAGTATACAACGGTTGAGCAGGGTGGATCTGGTACTGCGGAGTGAGGAGTATTTTATACAATTTAGAAAAAAAGCAATGTAAATAGACCCGACTATGATTATGATTTAAAATGGCTAAGCGAGATCTGTGATGCGAACTACGAACTTTTCTAGGACTGATAAATGCTGATAATTCGCTGTATTGGCTCAACACCGAATCAATTACTATCAAAGAAAAAGCGGAAGGGTAGCAAGGAGGGAATTGTTAAAGTAGAAAATCGCTAAACAACAGAAGCGTAGTACATGGAATCCCAGAACACCAGTAGATAGGATAAAAACGAAAGGACCATAACGCCTATAGACTGGTCGAAGACCAACCAGCGGTCATGAAAGCTCAACATGACCGGATATCAACATCGGGGAAGTTTGGCCTAGCTTGTCATCGTATTGGTAGATTACTCCCAGTCATCATCGCTGTCGTCTCCCTTTGCATCGGCAGCTGGGCTTTTTTCTTTGGGACTGCCAGGCGTCCGGCTGGTGGTGCCGCTAACGACATCGTAGCTGGATTCGCTGTCAGCCTGGGATTGTTGGTCGTTCGAGCGACGGGGCTCAATCGGCTTCAGGGTCTTCTTGTCAGCGGCTGGGTTGGGAGTGCCTTGCGTGGGAGTGGCGGCGTTTGCTTTGTTGCCCTTGACCTGGGGAGTAGAGGGAGATTCGGATTCGTCGGATTCGTCAGATTCAGGCTCGGAATCGTCATCCCAGCCGACTTCCTCTTCTTCGTTCACGTTGGCATCTGGAACGCATTGAGTTAGATGAACCATAATGGTAATTTTTTTTTTTAAAAAAAAAAAAAAAGAGAAGAAAAAAAAGTCATGACGTACCCTTTAGAAGCTCCTTACGCTTCTGCTCCTCAGTCTCAATCACAAAACGAAGGAAATAGTACCGCGACCAGAACTGCGAGTACTCAACTTGTTCTGGCACAAGTTTCTCCATAGCAGACCGCAGCTCAGGATACTTCTCCAAATTAGATGCGATCTCGCCAGTCTTCGCCTCCGCGTTGAAAGCCTCATTGAACTTAGGCCACTGGTCACTATCAGGGTCCTTGGTGAAGTTCTCCAAATTCGAGTGGATAACGTGCAGCTGGGCCTCGAAACGCGTAGCATGGATAACCCTCTTCCCATCCGCATCTTTACTCTCGAAGAGGACCTGGCTCGAGTCCGACTCCGGCGGAACGATGCTTACCGCATCCTGCAGCTTTTGACGAATGTTCATTCCAAAGCGCAAGATGGCTTCATCGGCAGCTTCCTCCGCCTTCTCAAGCTCTCTGAACCGCTTGGCCGCTTCTGTCTTGATGCGCGCAAAGAAGCTCTCGCCCTCAGCATCTTTTCCCTCACTCCCCCCCGCCTTCGGAGCTGTAGGCGTGGGCGCCTCATCCTTCTCCTTCTCCTTCTCCGTATCCTCAGAAGATGATGCAAGCCCCGTACTCAGGGAGAGGCCCCGTGTCCGTCCAACAATCGTCTCTCTGAGGTCCGAAAAGCCCTTCACGGCTTCCTCGCTGACTGCAGCATACTCCTCTCTAGCGCCCTCATAATAGGTCTCGCCTTGCTTGCGGACATTATCCCACAACCCGCCAATGCGTGCACCCCATGGACTAGCAGAAAAAGCGCGAAATGTCTCTTGCAGCTCGGTGTTCAGGTCGACGTTGGGTTGCTGGTTGTTGGAGGATTCGTCCTGGGCGCCTTTCTTGGATGGATCGTTGGCGGCGAGGATCTCCTCCTGGATATGATCGTACGGGAAATCCATGCTGGGAAGTTCTCGCGGTAGAATAATGAATGGGATAGGAAGCGACTAGCGACCTGGTTGGAAAGAAAATAAACGCGCGATGCCGTCCTCTCTCACCCTCCACGACGGTTGATTGTGACAAGAGTCGACCTCTCCCAAGGCGTTTCCGCAGCCGGTTCTACGGCCGCCCGAATGCCCCACCAGCGCTTGCGCTTATGAGTTTGAACGTAAATCCACGTGATTTATGCATATCATTTCGATGCTGTTCATATATTTATGGATATTAATGTATATTGTATAGTATTCTATGGAGGCTAGTATTTATTCGTTGCTTGGATCACTGTACGGCTCTCCAACACTGTTCTGACTGCCCATCCATAATGGTGGCATGGGTATACTCTCCAAAACACTTGAAGAAAGCAGTTGATTTCCAACGAATCCCCGCGGGCCAGAGTCCTGTTCACTTCTGGTATTCCTAATAAACCTGTCTGCTGGTTGTGAAGACTCAACCTGTACAACCGGTTCCTGTGGTATGGAGGGGTTTGAATCCCGCCGTGTTACGGGCGAGGATTCCGGTACGATATCAGTCAAAGTCTTCAAGTCTTGAGAGTTCGATTGAGGTTGGGTTTCAGATTGGGTTTGCGTCTGCGTCTGCGTTTGAATTGATTGGTGATCTGTCTGCAATGGATGGCGCTGGATAGCCAGTGGTGATTGTGTTTGAGTCGTGTCTGTCATAATTTGCTGAGCGCTGTTCTCTTTTTCCTGTGGGAAGAGCTCGGCCAGTGCTTGTGTATCCATAGAAGGAATGGGTTCGAGAGGGTATTGAGTAGAATGGTGTGGGCGTCGATAACAGATCGATGCATCGGATGACAGGTCTGGATATGACGGCCCGGTTTCGTTATCGGGCCCGGAAGGAATGCTAGGCGAGGGAAGTTTTTGGGAATCATAACGTTGAGAATCTTGAATATCTTCGATGGGGTCGTCGTCATCGTTAAATAGTTTCGGTTTCTGAGATGAAGGAGGAACAGACAGGTCGTCATGAGTTTCGCCATAGTCCGACTCAGCATCGGTCTCATATACAATGGTTCTCTGCGTATTGGGCGGACGATTTCTAGGCGTGGTTTTCGGGTCATCTGCATCATCAGATAGGATATTATTTCGAGATGTCGGAGGAGCTGGAAAGCCGGGTAATGAGGCCTGATCGGAAGGGGATGATGCACGGTCTAGACTATGCAGAGCCTTTTCCTCCACAGAACCATGTTGTTCTTCTTTTACCAGACGATCGACTGGTAATACCTGTCCCAGTGGGGTGCGATTTATCCCACGGAACTGCGAAGGCGAAACAAGTGCGAACCCAGGGCTCTCCGGTGATTGCGAGGACGGTACCTCAGATTTAATCATCTTCTTCGGCGTCACAAGCCCTCGAGACAACTGCCCTCCAGAAAAAATACTTCCAGGATTGAAGTTGTCTTTCGAATAACACTCGTCGATTAACCTCCGTCTCTTGACTCCATCCTTTTGTTCCTCTGTAGACTTTAGCGCTTCCGCCGCACTGCGCCGATGCGCCTCACGACTCTCCGGATCCCTGTCTTTCTTCGGACTATAGTATGTATATTCTAGCTTCACATCATCATCAGGCTCGATCTTCAAATACCGTCGTACATAATCCATCTGCGTAAGAGTCTTATCCCGTTCCTTCGGCTGCTTGTCCTTTTTATTACTCTCCCGGACGCTACCGCCGCTTTTCCTCCGGCCAGAGCCCTTCTCTGCACTACTAGGTTTTGGTGTACTCCTCCTTCGTCTAGAGACGTCCGTATTCGCCATTAAGTCTTGCCCAAATCGAACACCACGGGCTGGCTGTGTCCGCGAAGACGGCGCTGGTTGGTAATTGGCATCGTTCCCAGAGTCATCCGATATCTCGATCACGTCGCGGGTGTTGATATTGGTGTTTGTATTCGTATTTGGTGTATCATAATGCTGCACATTAGCTTCTGCATCGATATAATCTAATAGATCATCGTCGAGGTTGTCGTCCTCCAAATCCGGGTGCCGTCTTGTTGCCACCCAATCTATCTGTGTAAGCGTAGACTGTTGCCGGCCCAGCGAACCGGAGAACGGGTTTTGTTTCCGTGAGGAGTTCAATATCGGGTGCGACGATGCGATCGGTGTTTGAGTCCTTTTTCTGGCTGCTGTTGTTGATTTCGAATTCGAGGGTCTTGAAGATGAGGGTGCGGTGATTCTGGCTGGTGCTTGGTATTCGGTTGGGCTTGTCTGCGCGTTTGTATCGGAGGTGTCCTTTCGTCTCATCGCAATAGGGGTCTATATATGGATCGAGGTATCGTAGGGAAACATTAAGAATTGGAGGTTCGGGAATGAAGGATTCCTTATCGGGAAAACCGCGCGCGACGCGTCGCTGATAATGCTAATTGGTCCGTGCACTGCCCTATAGATCCTGAGTGCTCAGAAAATCTACTTCGTACGATATAAACATTTTATGTGAATTAATAGATTGAAAGAATTTATTCTATACAGATAGTTGTAGTATTCAACATATATGCGAGTAAAGTACACGGAACTGATTGAAGAGCCTACATCAGCCACTCTGGAATTGCGTCCTTGTCTTCAGGATCCTCTGACAACAGTGAACCTTCTTCATTATCGTTGTGCTCGCTTGAATTGTCTTCCTGGGATGCTCTTGATCGTGCTGGAGATATATCCCTTGGGGCTGTATCCTCGCTGATAGCTTTTGAATCCTCTGTTGCTGTTGGGTCTGTTGGAACTGTACCGGGTGGATTGTCGTTGTCCTTAAATACATCCTGTTCATGAGTTTCCTCTCCAACTTCCGGCATGGATGATGCGGTTCCAGCAGTATTGTGGATACTGCCACCAGGGTTCATGCTGCCAGTAGAGTTTGGCTTGTTGTGTGGGACAACAACGAGGTTAAAGTGGGAAAGCTCCTTCCTATGTGCAAGATGCGTAAATTCTGTATTACAGACAGTGTTCAACGGCAATGAAGGCTGTAATTCAGCTATACCTTGAGGAATTTCTTTAGGTGTAGATCCCCCACCAAGAGCTTCGTGGTCTTCAAACCCGGGTTCTGGTTCGAAGCCTCCGCCTCCATGCATAGGCGAGTCCGGCTCTGTACCATCTCTGAAAGTTGATACCGGACGGGGGCTGCTGAAAGTTTGATCTGGCTCGGGAAAGAAGCCACCGCCGCCTTTTTCAGACCCTCCGTAGCTGGCATCATCTGTGTCAATGCCAGTTTCATCTTTGCCTTCTTCACCTTCGACAGCATAGCCTTTAACTCTTTCAGCAATACGAAGCTTGAGCAGGAAGTGCTTCCACATTCCTAATACTTCTGCGGATTTCACTCCTTGCTCAGCCTGCAACCGTTCATGTTCAAGATTATTCAAGACTTCTTCAAGAGCTTCGCAATATTCACTTGCCACGATAACACCCCGAATAACCGCTGTTCCATGGCGCCCTTTGAAGTCAAAGCCTGTTACAGCATCGGCATAGTCAATGCCGAGTATTTTTGCAGCCTGTGATGCGGCAGGGTGGTTTATGTGAACACCACCTGGCGGAACCATAGTTGACGTGTAAATATCTAGATTTCCGTAGACGTTCTTGGGTACTTTACCCTGAATGACGGGTGGAGGTATGTATATGTTCGTCTGGAAGTAAGCATATACAGGGACCTCGATGATGCCATTTTCATCATCGTCATTGATGCTGAATTTGTTTCGATTTGCCCGAACACGTTTAAGAGGTTGCTCGCCGATTATGATGTCTCGTCCCAGACGGTACCATCCATCCGCACTTCGACACGCGTGAATATCAGTGCGACGATAAACTGGCTCCAGCTTCTGGCTTTTCGAGCTAGATTTACCTAGACTGACTTGTCCGATCACTCGTTTCGGGTAAACGACCTCATTTCGACGAAGATGCCGCTCGAGTGCATAAATTGGGTGATTCTTGAAGTCTTGCACATTTCGTGGCATGGGCTCAGCAGCCACCTTGGCGGTCAACTCGCTCACTTCGGCCTCGTCACGCTCCTCCGGGAATGGCTTCTCGTAGTATCTTAGCGCTCTTCCCCACCATTGCTCCCCATTCCGAGTATTCTCGACTCGTAATTTGCGGGTTTTTGCATTGAAGGCCTTTGCGTAGCGCCGAGTCACATCTCTTGCCGAGGCATCCTCTTCAAACGCAACAACGTAACTCATGATATTATACTGATCACTAGCGGGAGGTTCAAACTTGGAAGATTTCGCAAGTGACTTGGTCACCAAGGGGTCAACAGGGATCCATTTGTGGACCGCTTCGTTGTAGGCTTCGACCCAGAATACGGGATAGGACGATTCTTTGAGGCTTGGGCGTGGTCCTTAAACATGTCAGCTGACGCTAATTTCCTTTCTAAGAGTCCCACATATCACAAACCTGTGCGCACAGGTGCCTTTGGGGCATTAAATGATGATGATGATGATGATGACGATGCAAACTGTGGCTGCCCAAGCCTTCTTTTTCGTGGAGCTGGATTTGGAGTAGCATCGGGTTGTGATTGTTCATCAACTTCATTTTCATCGGCTGAAATAATAATAGATTGCGACTCTGGCCTCTTCGGTCCACTTGTCGTTGCACCAGAAAATGGCAGCGGCTGCAAAGAGCAAACCAACCGAGCTTCCACAGCTACTGATCGCAGCAAAGCGCAGAAAAGCTGTGCGCCAAAATCACGAGATCCTTGCAGTGTCTCAGCTTGCTTCCTGAAGTCGTCTCGCGATAGCATTACCTCCGCGTTGGACAGTATTGCCTCCTAAGCAGTGTTAAACCGGTAATTTTGAATTGCAGGGATCATTTACGGTACCACTCTCTGTTTCAAGGAGGTCGAATCATCAACCCAATGAGCACGCTGCAAGCCGGGTTTAGTAATTTTGAATCTTCTTGTAAACGCCTCGCTAGCCTGGTTTAGCCCGTCAACGAAAGTGATAGATCTAGTATACTGCGGTTTGTCTTCTGCCGGATTCAACAATTCCCTGACTTTCCTGTGTAGCATCTGCTTAAGAAAATCCTGGAATGGAGGTTAGAAATTAATCGAGCTGCTTGGCATAATATATGCATACCTGCACCAGCTCGTCGTTGCACCAGAGATTTCGGTTATGCACATGGCCAAGAAGGCAAAGAAGGTGAGCCTTGTGGATATCTAACCGTAGCTTTTTCTCAGCTCCAGTGACTGGCTTACGCCGCGAGACAATCCTTTCCCCAGTATCCTTATGCTGGCCTAAAGTGATCTGAAGTGGTTCATCTGCGGAATAGGGAGCTGTCTGGATTGAGTTTAACGGAGTCTGTTGAATATCGATTTCTTCCCACTCCATGTCTGACTCTTCCGAAGCAGTGGAGTCATATGCAGTCTGTGTTTGCCTGCCTACATCCTCATTTGTTTCCGGCAGGTTCGCTTCTTGACCGGTGGACTCGTGGTGGGAAGAATTACTTGTCCTTTCCCCAACTTTCCGCCTCTTACTAGATCTGCCCGCTTCAGCTTCTTGGGATTCCCGGGCTTCAGCTTCAGCCAGCATCTCCCGGTACACCTCTGGGACCTTATCGTCTCGTTCCTGGCGTCTGGATTGACGGCCACGAGTTGCTGCGACCCTGTTCGAGCGGGCAGGAGCTGTACGGCGCACCATAACAAGATTGGTACTCAAACTTCATGGGTAACTCTCTTAAGCCGTTGATATCTTGACCTATCCCTGTTTGCTTGAGGCGATTTCGAAGGGGGTTGGTAAATCGTAAAGACCAAACCTACGCATCCTCTATGGGCCAGTTAAAGTACCCTTCCTTTATCGTTGTATCGCGATGTGCAAAATCCCCACAGGGACATGAAGGTTGAAGCACATCCCGAAATTCCCAGCTAGGTAAGATGCGTCATATCGGGGGAACTGATTTTCCGAGTATTATCGAGCTATCCGATAAGGGATAATAAGTGTCTGGGGGATTTCATGCTGTTGACAGCCACGCAATCCATTTTAAAGTACCCTGTAACCCTCTGTTTGAACTAAATGGCTTTAGTGGTGGGAGTGAAGAAGTGTCCTGACTAGTTGCGCTGATGGGCGGTATCCAGCAGCGCTTATCGGAAGTTCAAGATACGATGTATGCTATACTGGAGCTCTACAGAAGAATGTAGCTTGATATCAGAACAATATCTGACAATCCATTGATCTTTTCATGATGAGTACCCCTATATACCTGATCAATCAGACACGGGAGTCCAAGTACAAGCATGTACTTTTGCTGAATGTAGCTTATGAGTTCAGCATGACATCACAAGCCATACACATGACTCTCAGCAGTGATAGAGAGCAACAGAAAAGAATTTCTGGTTCTAACCCATCTATCATCTTCAGCCCCAAGTTCAATACAAGCCATGCTCTCACGATCCTTGAAGCTCAGCAGATCGCTGCCTCTAGTGCGCCCAGTGCTTCCGTGCACTAGCCGTCGCTTTTTTGCCCAAGTCTCCGATGTGAGAATTCCTACGGTAAGATTCCTTGATAGATTCGGTTAAAGGCACAGACAGCTGACATAGTTTGATATATAGGAAGATGACAGACCCTTCGAAGTCCCATTACCAGAAGACAGTTTTGAAACATATCACCTCGACCCACCGCCGTACACGATCGAAACGACGAAAAACCAACTCAAAAAACTATACTACGATATGAATGTGATAAGGTTGGAAGAAGCGCCCAAGAATAGCATTTGCTATTGCTAATGCATCGCAGACGAATGGAAATCGCTGCTGACAGTTTATACAAAGAGCGAAAAATCAGAGGATTCTGTCACCTTTCAACAGGACAAGAAGGAGTGGCAGTTGGAATTGAGCATGGGATTACCAGAGACGATAAACTGATCACAGCGTATCGCTCCCATGGCTTTACGTTGATGCGCGGAGGCACCATCAAGTCCATCATCGGTGAGCTTCTTGGGCGACAAGGCGGTATATCATATGGAAAAGGAGGCTCGATGCATATGTTCTGTAAGAACTTCTTCGGAGGAAATGGAATTGTCGGCGCTAGTGTGCCTGTCGGTACTGGTATTGCTTTTGCGCAGCAGTATGATGAGAATCCGACTATTACCTTTAATCTTTTTGGAGACGGGGCGGCAAATCAGGGCCAGGTGCACGAATCATATAACATGGCCAAGCTTTGGGAATTGCCCGTGATTTTTGGATGCGAGAGTAAGTCACATACATATAGTGAAGGTAATGAGACACCTTCTAACTGAGCTTGCAGACAACAAGTATGGGATGGGAACGTCGGTTGAGAGAGCATCAGCAATGACCGAATACTACAAGCGCGGACAATACATCCCCGGTCTCCGGATCAACGCGATGGATGTACTAGCCGTCCTGGCATCCACAAGATTTGCCAAAGACTATGTGCAATCCGGCAAAGGACCGCTAGTATACGAGTACCTCACCTACCGGTACGCAGGACATTCAATGTCCGATCCAGGAATCGCATATAGGACCCGAGAGGAGCTGCAAGCGCATCGAGCGAATGACCCAATTACTAACTTCCGAGAGAAATTGATTGAGTGGGGTGTTCTTACCGAAGACGAAGCGAAAGCTGTTGACAAAGACGTCCGTAGCATGATCAACCAAGAGGTACAAAACGCTCTTAACATGCCTGATCCCCCGAACACCTTCGATGTGCTATATCAGGACATTTATGTCCGTGGTAGTGAGCCTCGACAGAGGCGCGGAAGAACCGTGGATGAGACATATTATCAAGGATAGATCGAAACCTTCTCCCATGTAATGCTGTGGACAATTTAATATCATGATGACCATAAGCCATAACAATACATTTAAAGATGAAATAAATTTTTTTTTTTAATACATAGTAAACATTGTCAATAAACATGGTTTAGCATAAACAATGGCCTAAACAAATCCTGCTCTCGCAACCCCAGCGAACTGCATTGCCGAATTTTCTTTGATTCCAATTGGTTCCCTACTTAAACACCTCGTCTGAACCAGACCATGAACTAATATATGCAGCTAGATTGGCGCCCAGAATGTCTTCTTTGCGCAGCAGATAGCCGACATCCAACGCCTGATGCAGCAATCCGGTCTCAAGTATCAAGTGCATGCAACGGGGACGACAATTGGTGTATGACTTGCTTTGAAATTTTCTATTTGAATACACAAGCATGGGCATACTAGCAAGTATTCAGCGAAAAGAAAGACCATGGGACCAAGTCTCGCAGATTATCGGCTTCGCGCATACCCTCATTCACCACCAGGGTATCGTTTGGATCCAGACCGATATACAGATTACGATGATGTGTGTCTTTGTTCTCTCTCATGGCAAGGAGAGGATGTTAATGTTTGAAACAGAACGGACAAGGTCCAGCCAATGGAGAGTTAATTATGTTTTAATGGAAAGGGGCTTTGCTGACGACTGCTGCCATGGCTACGCAGATGTAATACAGAGATTATTCTGAGGACTTGTAGAAGTGCCAGTTTTTTTGGGGTCTGTAATTAGAACGATTGAATTATATAAATAGTGCATAGGGTCCTCATGGGAGTATGGAGTTTCATCATAATATTACAGCGCTAGGTTATTTCTATTGTATCGGGGCAAAGAGCCACCATACCCAAAGACATACTATATTATTAGTATGCAGCTTAAGATACTACTATAACATACTTTCAAAAAGACAAAAATAAATGGAAATCATGCTTTTGCTCAATAGCAATTCATGTGAACTTTCCCAGTTGTGATGCAACTATGACATGACGCTAACTCGGGTTCCGGGGGTGTAACTCCAGATATCCCGGACAAAAAACAACCCTGTTCAAATAAAACAGATACCAGAAAATATATTTCTTATTATAATCAATCTTCCACTATTATGTTCTCCTCATCGAAATCAATTGCAGTCGTAACCGGCGGCGCAGGCGACATCGGCCGCTCAGTCGCAGCGCACCTCTCCACAACCCACGACCTCGTCTTCATCGTCGACATCGACAAACAATTCCTCAGTACAGCCTTGAACTCGAAAGAGCTAGCCGGAAATGAGAAGGTCCAGCCATTCACATGCGACATCGCCGAAGAGACGTACGTTCGGTCTATGGGCGCCATCATCCTATCGCAGGGTCAAGTGCGCACCCTCGTGAACAATGCCGGTGGTACATATGTGGGATCACTAGATAAGATGTCAAGTCAGCGATGGAGGGCCGAGATGTCATTGAACCTGGATGCGACGTATCTGTGCTTCAAGGCATTCGCGGAGTCTATCAAGGAAACGCGAGGGTCGGTGATTAACATCACATCTGTGAATGCACTGTCTGTATTCGGGAACCCGGCATATAGCGCTGCTAAAGCTGCTCTCATCAACTTTACCAGGTCGATTGCTGTGGAATATGGCAAGTTCGGGGTCCGGGCTAATGCTGTCGCGCCGGGGACTGTCTTTACGAAAGCGTGGGAGGCCAAAGCTCGTGCAGGCAATGATCTTTTCGACAAACTAAAGGAGTGGTATCCGTTAGAGCGCATTATTCAGCCGGAAGATGTCGCAAATGCTGTGGCTTTTCTCGCTAGTGATCAGGCAGCTGCTATCACGGGGGTCTGTTTACCAGTCGACTGTGGGTTATTGGCTGGACAGCCTTCTGTCGCTCGTGCCTTTGCGCAATCTGAGGATTATTGATGTTGGTCTTGGTCTGTTCTCGAAAATGCCTACATACATGTTTTCTCCTAGGCCGGTGCTTCCAAGGTGAATGTGGCTAGATTTCGCATAGAGATAAGGGCCACTCTTGCTGGATGTCAAAAGTGGAAAGGTCCCGGAGGGACATTCAGGTTCATTGCTTTCTTGGGTGTTCTATATATACACCGATCCTATTGTTGTAATATGATACAGAATGACCATGAGCACATTTCTCGGGCACGAAAACTAGCGGGAGAGGTTGGTCTCTTGAGGATCCGGTAATGACATCGGATAATGTGTGCAAGCTGGTGATTTTCGAAGATCCTGTAACACAGGGGTTGTTATTGCAATGGCAATCTTAATATATATCAAATCCTGCTGTGGCTTGTCGCAGGTATGCATGATGACAATCATTGCTACACATATTTGGTAATGCAAATGTACTCAAGGGTAGGGCTGAATTACTCTATTATCCCTGTATCCCTCTAACGAACACCTCTCACAGATATGGAATCCTTGTTTTCCGGTATATGCATATGCCCATACGAGTAACCATGTGCAAGTATGGTACGGAGTACCTTGAAGTGCAACTCTAAGTGCATTCGCATAGTTTCTTCATTTTTTTCCAGGGGTTAGTAGTCTGTTCTATTGTAGTCGATAATTCAGATGGCTCCTGCGCTGTTACCGCAGCCCCGGAACGCCTTGCCGCTTGTCGGATCTATTCCATAATGAGAAAATCGAGGGAGGCGCTACATCGTGCGAAGAGGAGACTGCTTGAAGACCCTGGAAGATGGCAGTGAAAAACAAAAAACAAAAACGAGAGCACATCTTCAAAAAAGTAAAGCATATCACTACGTCTAGTTATCTGCTATAGTATGGCGGGAAGCAAACTCGTGTATGAATGCCGAACAAAGTTGGTCCCAGCAGTTTGGTTCCGCTTCTTGTGTACCCGGACCACTCGCCAGGGGTATTATTTTGTATTATTTTTATTTCTAAAAATTCAACTTTCCTCCGGTCTTCCGTGCAATGAAGTCCTACATCCATTACCGAATACAGTATCCGTGCACAGTATGTATCCGACCATGACAGGTGCCACGGCTGTCAGTTAATTAAATGCCGGACCCAGAAGGAAAGGCGAAACGAGGGGGTGCCTCAGGTTTTGATTACTAGTTGACGGAGAACTCCGGTTGCCTGGTTGCCTTGTATGAGATAAATACACATAGATACGACCGTTGAGATTGGCCTACCAACCGTCTCGTTTACCTGAGGCAAAGTAATCCTTTACTAGTGCTCACTACGCCGCAGCACTTCGTATTGTGGCAACTATGTCCTTGAAACCGAAACGGAAAATTGTAGATCAATGCAATTCGCGGCTAAAAGGGTTGATTCCTTGGTTCCCTTGTCAACTCCTTAATCGGCCCGGCCGAGATAGCATGCATTATTATCTCTTGCGTTTCGGAATGAATAGGACCTGTCTAAATGGGGAGTGGTGAACGCTTTGGGTATAATATCCGGATGGTGAGCATCATTCGTGCATTGGACATAGGACTTCTCCGTGCATTCTGTATGTACTCTGTCTGTGAGTGAGGCCTTCTTCTCCAACCACGGCCTACGGATACTCCGTGTTAGCACTCCGTATGTATGTAGTAAAAAACTGACCCCAACCTCAACCGACCCGGCGGGAAGAATTTGTCATAGCAAAGAGACGGGACTGCCGATGGAGAACTCTGACAAGGTATTTGTGTTCACAGCGAGCACGCAGAGTGGCCCAGCTAGTGGATAGACTTTGTCCGTCTGGTTCGCGTACCAAGGAATGGAAAAATGCAAAAAAGCAACGCTATTAGAAATCGGTCGGGGTGGGCAGCGGTGGAGATCGTGTTCCGACAGTGTGGTTATATTATGATAGGGGAGGTTTATTATTACTTTTTCTTTTTCTTTTTCTTTTTCTTTCGCCCTCCAGCACCACGAAGGGTATGGCGTGTATTCTTCTACCTGTATCTACCTGTATGTTAGTACAATACTGTAGCATTATTACGTGGTCAAATCAGAACAAACCCCGAATAATGCAACAGGGGTCTTTCCGGTCTTTCTCCGATAGCAACTCTGGTCGACGCCGGGTACTCATAACTTTGGTACGTACTGAGCGTATGTATCCGGCAGTTTGGCACCAACAACCATTGGTCTCCGGTTGCGGGTGATCTTTCAGCTTCAAACTTTGTAAATTATATATCCATACTTTGCCATAGATATGGAGATTCTTATGAGTGCTATTGATGAGGTACCACGGTCCTCTGCTTGCAGGTAAACAGAGACCCCCGATTGTACCATATGTGCTCTGTATCGCGGAAGACTAACCCGAGTATAAATAGCAGAAATATATCCAGAGTACGAGTACATACGGTTTCCAGTGCGTCGTAATGAAAAAAAAAAAAAAAAAAAGAAAAAAAGAAATTGAACCCGATGGCCTGGAACGCCCGTGCTTTTAGCTGCCGGGACTTATCAGGGGTTTTGTCTTCCTAGAGTCATGGTACGGAGTAGACTTCCAGGATACCGTCTCCTAGCGGAATTATTTCACCTGGGGCTGCAGGTCAGAGCAGAAAGTTCCGACTAGAGAGTCTTGGAAGGGATGAGAAGAGGCCAAAAAAAAAGTGAATTACGACTGGGTGTAAAAAGAAAGTAAAAGGGTAATTTTCACCTTTTGGAACCACTGGATCGTCTTCGGCTGCCAACAAACTTAATCCAATCTGCCGGGAAGGAGCATTTTGTACTGATTCTCTTATTTTCCATTTTCCCTGCCATATACCCTCCATTAGGTTGCTTAGTGTTGCCAGTTAAAGCACCCTGGAGCGTATATGTGATTCACACTATAGTAACTTACCAAAGACCTTAAATATTTCTCCAGATCCGTGGGAACGGATCCGACTCTTTTTACTATTTCCAGTCGGACGGACTCTTACCTATTATTTACAACTATATTCCTTCATTTTTTATTTTTATTTTTATTTTTATAATTTTTTATTTACATTTATTACTGAACAGAGGAGTACTATTCCGTACACACATAGAAACTTCACCTCCTCCTACTACTGACTCCTCCCCCCCACAACACCACTCAAGAGGGTTTTGGACCGACAATCCCAATGCTCACTCGGCCCATCCGTAATAGAATGAGTGCAAGCCCTGAGGTAAGCTTGTTATCGAAGAAGGCGTCCTTTTATTTTTTGCTATTAGCCCATTTCCTACCCTTTTTGATTTTTTGATTTTTTTTATGTGGTCGTTGTTGTCGTGCCTTGACCTATAGGAGTGCTGACGGAACGGAAAAAATGTCTCAACAGTCGAGTCAAGACTTGTAAGTTTTCTCTTTTCCTTCTCTTCACTTTCACATGGTCATGGCACTTGTTTCCAGTCTCTCAGACAGACATCAGCTCACAGCCCTGATGACAGTGACACGCAGTCGTTGACGGCCAGTGTGACGGACTATCCCATCGAACATGGACGGCGGTACCATAGATATCATGAGGGTGGTGCGTTCTCTCGACGAAGCTGAAGAATTAATAGCAGATGGCAGAACTAACCAGCAACCACATAGCCTACCTCTATCCCAACGACGAGCAGGAACTCGATCGTTTAGATATGCAGCACCATATGTTCAAGCTCATCAACAAGGGTCGCTTGTTCTTTGCCCCCGTGGAGAATCCCCAGCGGATTCTCGACATTGGTACGGGCTCCGGTATCTGGCCGATGGAAATGGGTATGCTTCCTCCTCTTCCTTCTTTTGATGTTCTTGAAAGAACACCCTTTCTTACGATTCCCCCTAGCATCCATCTTTCCACAGACCGAAATCGTAGGCACAGACCTCTCACCCGTCCAGCCGACAGAAGTACCCGAAAACGTCCATTTCCTCGTCGACGATGCCACCGAAGATGACTGGTTATGGGAACATGACCATTTCGACTTCATCCACATCTCCCACCTGTCGGGATCTCTGCCCTCGTACAAAGCCTTGCTCTGCAAGGCCATGCGTCACCTCAAACCCGGCGGCTACATCGAATGCCACGAGCTCGACCCCATGCCTCGTTGCGACGATGGCACAATGCCACCAGGAAACCCAGATGGCTTCTGCGATTATGCCCTGTATGACTGGTTCGATCTCAATGTGCGATCGGGCCAGGCGTCGGATCCGCCTAGGCAGTTCCGGGTTGCTCCCCGTATGGCCCGGTTCATGAATGATTTGGGGTTTGTTGATGTACAGACTCGCAAGTCCATGCTGCCCACTAATTCATGGCCATCGGATCCACATCTGAAGAATATCGGCTCGTGGAGCGAGACCAATTGGCTCGAGGCGTTGTCGGGTTGGTCGTACAAGCCCCTGATGATCCTGGGTTGGTCGAAGCCTGAGATTGAGGTCTTTCTCGTCGAGGTGAGGAGGAGTATCCAGAACCGTGACATCCATAGCTACACAGAGTATCATGTGGTGACTGGGAGGAAGCCACTTCCTGGGGAGCAAGGGCCTTGACCTCTGCCCTTTCCCTCTTTTACCCCAACACCTGGAGACCTGTTGCCTTCACAAAAGCGTAATACTCTTCTTTCCATCTTGCTCAATTTCTTTTCTTTTCTCTAGTCTTTTCTTTCTTGTTCCTGCTTGCATTAGCATAAGATACCACTGGTTAGAGAGAGTTCATGCATGGACAGGCGTGCAGGCTCTGCATTTTGTTTATATCGATCTCATATACACGCGAGAATCAACAGTAGCTATTACAGCACCAGAGCCATGAAAATAACATTCAATTTGCTTCTCCCCTCGTTCAAAATAACTGTATCCCGTAGACCATAAAGCAAGCCTTGGCACTAACCCTCCGATATGCTGACTAACCACCTGGTCCGAGCTCTGACGAACCATCGCTCGTTAATCGACGACACCTGACGGGCCTAAATCACCAGCAAGCCGACGGAAAGCAGACAAGAGCCAATTCAATCCCAGTACCACGAAAACAGAAGGCCAATTCAATGCCCACCGGACCTCGCCCACATGTCCTTCGGTAGGCATGCCTATAGGCATGCCTCTTCCGCGACAGCACCGTTAATCACCGATCACGTCTGGATTAGCGACGATTTCCTCGCGACGGCGTTTCGACGATTCGCGAATGGTGGTAATACTGGGCGAAAACAACAGCGGCGGTATGAGAGTCGGGCTCCCGGTCCGTTGGAGGCGAGGAGGCGGTTGGCGAAAAGGAGGAATACGGCGTTGGCGAGTATTGCGGGGTCTGGGCCATTGGGGGATATTTCGTGCTTGTTTGGGAGGAATGGGAGGGAGCATATGAAGTGGACAGATACGAGGGAGAAGAAGGGGGAGGATCAGGCACGGGTGGATATGGAAGATCAAGGTGAGTTTGTTAAAATTGGAGGTTAATTTTTGTTACGCGGGACTGACTGGCTTTCTGATAGGCATGCAGCCTTTGGTTCCGCTAGGTGATGCTTTTCCGTTTTATGAGAAGAATACTGGTCTGAGTGGGCTGGGAGGCTCGCCGGCTGAAGTTGTAATAAGTGATAGCGCTGCTCGGGAGAAGTTCCTGGAGGAATACTTGGAGAGCAATTGGTCGACGGCAGCTATCAAGGGGATCCTCAACGAGTTGGATATTAATCTGCAGTATGAGCCGGCTTACAGTCGCAAAATAATGAGCTACCTGCTCACCAAGTCGGTCCGTACAAAAGCTGTTGATGGATCATTATTTCGTTTCCTGGACGATTTGACGTTAAATATCAGAGGCGCGGGGAACTATGCAGCTGCTGTCGAGCATCTTGCCCATCATGAAACCCGCTTAAACCAGAGAAGCGGCTGTCTCAGTGCGATTGCTCGCGCGCTGGAACTTGGAACAATCCCGCCTGATGAGATTCGCGCTATTGTTAAGAGAATTCCGAAGATCCGTGGCGTCAAGCCTAATCCGAAGTATATGATTGACTGGTACCAGCAAATGTGGGATGCAATTGGTCGCTGCGATATATTTACGCATGGTGATTTGGACGCGGGGACTGTGGATGCTTGGCTGGAGATACTGGAGCAGCGGCACTCAGCTGCAGGCATGGATTTGGCCTTGAAAATAATCCAGAAAACTCAAGGGTCGCATTCAGCTTGCTGGTGGGTACCGAGGTTCATCATGCGATGGTTGGATCTGCAAGTAAAGATGGGTTCTGAAGTTGATGGAACTTTTGTCTCTGAGCTCTTGGGCCATTTCGACCCGAACCTCGCGTCGGAGTATATGATCCGCGTAACTGAAAACCTGACCTTTTCAGAGAAAAATCATCATAGGAGGTTGCTTCTGGAAAAGTGGCAAGACTGTCTGTTTGAGCTTCAAGATGTGAGGTCTCTTATGTTTTCACCAGCCTGGTTAGATTTGAATTCGCAGAAGGCTGCAACGCCCGACAGCGAGGTTATGGAGCTCTCAACCGACCAGATCATTCTCCGCCTCTGGGTTCTACGAACTCTAAGTGAACACTTCGGACCTCCCTGGAAACGCTCGAAACATATTGATGCACCTATAACCCAACTCTTCGACCGTTACGAATCCATCACCAAACAAGTAGCCGAAGGAGACTTCCTAAGCAACCTCATGAAAGACATTCACGATCTGGACATCCCCTTCAGCAGCCTAATGATGCTAGCTGTGGACATGAAGATCCGCAAGAACATGACCAAAGCCACCCGCAACGCCCTACAACGACTAGAACGCTCCCGAATCTCCTTCGCAGACCTCTTCACAGACCTACACACGTACAACTCCAGCAAATCGCTCTTCTTCAGCTCCTTCGAAGAAACGGTATCCAGGGTCGACGTCTCCAGCGTAGCATTTACCAACCACGTCGTCCATCTCGCCAAAACGGGAGACTCGAAGAGTGTCTGGACGCTCATCCGTCTTCTTCGCGCTCATACACCCCTCAAAATCTCCCTCGCCAAATCCTGGCCTGTTCCGGATACCATTGACCAATCCATCACCATCCCCAATACAACATCAGAACCCCAGCACAACCTTCCAAATCCCCACGATTCCCTCGAAATGATCCACATCCTCGCCATCGTCCTCTCCTGCTCTAAAAACCTCACCCCGCGCCGCTCCTTCCATCTCGTCCACTGGCTTTACGATTTCCTAATGACGCATAATGCGCCTGTAAAGCCCTCGCTTATACGTGCTATGTACCATGCGGGGATTATTAGGTATCAGAGGGAGGGGTTGAGGGTGGCGCCCACGAGATATTTGTATATTTGGGAGTTGGTGAAGAGGTTTGAGGATGCGGATGTTGCAAAGGAGTTGATGGAGGGGCCGAGGTATGGGGTTTCGAATGTGGGTGTTGAGGAGCATGAGTAGTATACCAGAGGAGAAAGAGGGTATACGTTTATATGTATAGATAGCTGCGTCTTGATTCTAGGGCCAGGAGTTACGGAGGATGCCGAAATTAGAGACGAAACTCGTATGAAATAACCATTGATTAAACATCAAATATCATCGTGTATGGTGACAGTCTGCACTTAAGTATCCACATCCATGGCAAGATCCTTGTCCCCAGATACCTCCTCAACAACAACATATTTCTTCATGTCCTCCTTGCTGATAACCTTCTGGTTCAACCAAGCCGTCGTTCCCTTAGGGAAACGGTAATTCCGCTCCTTCTCACCACGCTCGTTCGGCTTCATGTAGTTACGCAACAGCTGCGTCGGTCCATCTTGCTGAATGACACACACATCGACATTGCTGCCGGAACCCAAGTCGTTGAAGATACCAGCCTTGATCGCCTCCGCAGAGAGGTTAACCGCGTCTTCCCGGCTCAAGTTAGGCTTCCACATCGACTCGAACACGGACATGGCCGCCAACGAACCCGAACCCATCGTTACGTAGGGGAGCTTATCTGTCGAACCGTGGGCGTGCACGGTGAACAGGCCGACGCCCGTGGGGTCGACACCCGCAACCACCAGGTACGCACCGATGTGGCCCTGGTATCGGAAGAGGTGTTGCTTCAGCATGGTCATGCAGGTGATGACTCGCGGAGGCCGGCCCGTCGAGAGGGAGTGCAGTTCGACGTTGGAGCTGATCAGGGAGGTTGTGAATTCGGTATCGGCGGCGGTACCGGCTCCGGCACACCAGATCTTGGGCGCGATGTAGTGGAGTTTTTCGCAGTTCTGCAGAAATCAGTTGACTGATCGCTTTATTTTATGTCCCTGTAGTCGGTTTTAGGACTGTATCGTACCTTGTCGGCGACAATAGGACCGCTAGTAGCTCTGGTATCTGCTGCAATCTGCGGGCTCGTTAGCTCCAGACCATCAACTCACCATTATTGTATGAACATACCACAACACCCCCGTCATAACAACAACCGACAATTGTAGTACCGGTGCTAGTAGCCTTGGGAAGAGGCACACCTCTGGCGTGGAGAGCCACATTGCGGTTGTGGTTGGAGAAATCGAAGCCCGCCATGATGACGGTGTAGCGTGTACGACGGAGGAAACGGGGTCAAATAAAAAAGGGTTATCGCAGAGATCCCTAAGGACGGTCAGACAAAAGGGATTAAAAGAGCAGTTAATGAAGATGGGAGAGAGTTGGAGCTGGAGCAGCGTCGGTGATTGGGAGTTGACGATGGACGGCGAGAGGTCGAGCTGGAGTGACGACAAGTTATCAGTGCCTCATTAATGCCTTACCATTAAGGCATCAAGAGCATCCGCTGTTTTTGTCCTCGTCGGCACGAAAAAGCATCATTTTGGTAGACCTCATTCATTCCTCTGTTAATTTTCCTCCCTTTGAGCGCCCAAGCACGACGTTTTGGTTGCATTCGGATCTTTCAAATTCATTGCATCCGGCTCCCCGATTTTCTTGTTTGCCCTTGACTCTTCCCGTCAAGGGGAGGTCGTCGAGTTTTTTGCGCGTACTTGGTAGCTCTACTATCGGAGTCTCCAAGCACTCCAGCGTCGCTCCTTTCCTCCTCGTCGCTACAGGACGTTCGCTCTCTCCATGATCTAGGATTAAGCAGACACCAAGGCGACCATTCCCATTCGATTTCAGCCAACCTTGACAGACGCAGAATGGCGTTCAACCCTAGCGGAAACATAGAGCTGGGCTCGGAGCTCTCAGATGTTTTTACGGATGTACGTTTCGCGTTTTCACTATGTACCTTGGTCTGTTGAATCATGGCTAATAGGTCATTGGAACTAGGATGTCGGTTTCAAAGGCGTATCCGGTGATAGTAACGTTCAGCTCCTCCCGATTCCCTGGCCTTCCGATGCCCTTCCAGCCCCTTCCTGCTCGCTTTTAGCTGTCGCACCCACCAAAGGCATCGTCGTCGGTGCCGGCCCGGACTCGCTCGCTATAACTAGCTCCGAATCAGTGCGAAAGGCTATTTCCGCCCCGACCGGAGAAGAAAAGATCCAGACGAAATCGTTCCAACCGCAGACTACGATCCCTTTGCCGGGGCGACCTACACATGTGGCTTTCGCATCAGGTGACAGTGCGTTGGTGTTGACGACGGAAAATGGAGCACAATTGTCAGTCTTCGAGACGGCGGGCTTATTGCAAGGGAATGCGCAACCGGCCTTGTCTATCCCGACGAACGGCGCCACCTTCCGAGCTGTCGTGCCTAATCCTAGCCCGGCCGGCGACGCCCACTCGATGCTTGTTGCTCTCGTCACGGTGAATGGTGAGCTTCTTATGGCGGATCTGAAGGGGGGTAATCTCGTCGCGGGATCTAATGGTCCGATCCTGAAAACCGGGGTTAGCTCGGTTTGTTGGAGTAACAAAGGCAAGCAACTGGTTGCTGGACTTGTGGACGGAACTGGATATCAGATGGCCCCGGATGGTGCGCAGAAAGATGCTATCCCACGTCCTCCTGACCTTGAAGGGGAATGTCACAGTGAGTATGGCCGATAACACCCCAGAATAACTTCGTTTGACTAACTATGCTGCAGTCTCTTCTATCGCTTGGCTTGAAAACGACATTTTTTTAATGATCTACACACCTAATGCAGCCGAAGATGATATGGGACAGAATCCACCGTCATCCTACTATATCATCACACGACGAAAGCAAGCACCTTTCTTGATTCAGAAAATGCCGGAATTATGCGGACCCTTTGGCTTTAAGCGCACGCCGGCCTATCAGTTCATTGGACGCCTGAGGGATTACAAACCACACCTGAAAGACGTCCTTGTCATCTCTTCGACCGCATCTACCGACGTGGGCCTTGTAACCCGAGCCGATAAGCCATTGTCAAACGACGAATCTGCCCAGGGTACCGTCAACCTTTTCACGACAACCGAAGTTAGTGATGACACAAAGCGAGCATCCCTTCCGTTGAAGGATTCTGTTGACGAAACCTCTGTGATCGGTTTGGGAATTGACCTCACCAGCACTGAAAAGGTCGTGTCGCCCATTCAAGGTGAAGACATTCTCGAGAGCTCTACGCCCTTGCCGAACGTCCTACTTCTCAACAATGACGGTATTCTTTGCTCTTGGTGGTTCATATATTCAGATGCTATCCGCCAGAACATCCCTTATCAAGGCCTGGCCCCTGCTGGCTCGCAACCGCAACCGGCACCACTACAATCGCAGCCACAAGCACAACCTAAACCTCCAGCTCAGCCTCCGTTTGGACAGTCGGGATTTGGCAGCCCCTCTGCTCTAGGTGTCAATCCTTTTGGTAAACCCTCCACTACGCAGGGTTTTGGCAGCCCTTCGCCTCTGGGCGGCGGTAGTCAAGGCGCTGCTTTTGGGAAGTCCTCATTCGGAACGCCGTCGGGGATTGGAGGAAGCCCTTTTGGCAAGCCCAGTACCATAGGACAAGGGACATCACAATTCGGAAAAACTGGACTCGGCTCGACGCCTGCATTTGGCCAGCCGTCTTCATTTGGCCAACCATCGACTCCTGCCAAGAGTCTTGGTTCTATTGGGATTAACCCTAGTTCCGGCGGAGGATTTGGTTCGTTTGCAAACGCTAGTGCTGGCGGCGGATTTGCTAGCTTTGCTGCCACAAAACCGGGGGAATCTTCTTTTGCTAAGCCAGCCGCCGCATCGCCCTTTGGCCAAACTGCAAGCCAGTCTCCTTTTGCTAGCACAGCGGGCGAATCCTCGTTTGGCAAGCCGGCGACGGGTGAGAGCCCGTTCGCAAAGCTGTCCGGCCCGTCTGCCTTTGGCCAGCCGGATACAAAAACGGCTTTCCCGCCACCCAGCACGGACGCATCGAAGGGTCTGGGTACAGGCAGCTTCCAACTTGGCTCTACGTTCAAGGGTGACGGTACTGCTGTAAACGATGCTCCCAAACCTGACAAGCCTTCTGGTGGTGGAATGTTCAATTTGGGTACATCCTTTGACGAGATGGTGTCAACGCCTGGCAAGACCAGTCCGCCTGTTGAATCTATGGACGACAGGGAAGATCTACCAGCAGAACAACCAGAGCCCGCCAAGCAAGCTGCACCACAACCAGCGCCCTCATTGTTCGGACAGCCGCCTGCACCAGCAGCACCGTCCATTTTCAATGCTCCAAAACCATCCGAACCAGCACCAGCACAAACCAACAAGTCTCCATTCTCAATGTTCGGACCTGGCGTTACTCAAAACAAACCTGCCAGCCCCTTCTCTCCTTTATCCGAGAAAACTGCAACCCCCAAGAAGGAGTCGCCAAAGGAGACTCCCGTTGGCACACCAGCAGGAGAGCCACCATTACCTCCTGACCCCACAAGCAGAGCAACCTACGGACCGGGCGATACATCTGCGTCATCAAATGTGTCCAAGGACTCGGCAGACGAGGCGCCTCTTCCACCAGACTTTGCCGCGAAACCAAAGCCAGCTGCTAAGGAAGAGGCTCCGCTTCCACCGGACTTCACTGCCAAGCCCAAGGCATCAGAAATCAAGAAAGAGGCGGAAGAGGCACCGTTGCCTCCTGAACCAGCCACTCCTACCTCTGTAGCGGGCCCCGCGGAGGATGCAGAGGAAAGTCCTCTTCCTGATGAGTCTGACGCAGATGAGGAAGAGGAACCGGGGTCTGAAAGGGAAGGAGAGGAAGAAGAAGACGAGGAAGAAGAGGAAGAAGAACAGCAAGAAGAAGAGGAAGAAGAAGGCGATGAGGAAGGAGAAGAATCGGATTTCGCTGACAGTGGGGAGGACGTTACTCATGACATCAGCCAAACCGATTTCCAGAGCCCGAAGGCCTCGCTGGAAAGTTCCTTCGAAGAAAAAAGCCCCGCAGGTGGATTGTTCACCAGGGTTTCGAGACCAGAGGAGCAGAAGCAACCTTCTAAAGGGCTATTTGGAGAGATCAACAAACAGCCCTTCTTCCCACCCAGATCTCAAGCCAAGATCGGATCCCCACGGTCACCCAGTCCGATGCGCGCAGCCCATAAGGGTCCATCTAAGCTTGACAGCTATAAGCCTTCTGGTCCCCCCAAGGGCCCTGGAGATGCTCTAGCTTCTCGGAAAGCAGCGCTTAAAGAGTCTAACCAGCGAAAACCTAATGCTGCTGAGCTCGCTGCTCAAGAAGAGCAGGCCCGCTTGCAGGCCGAGGCGCAGCGCCAGGAGGAAGAAGCGCAGGCCCTTTCTGATGACGACGAGGATGAACGACTTCGTGCAGACCTTGCTCAGCCCCTGGAACCAGTGCCTACCCTTGACCCATTCCTGCCCCACCAAGACTACTCTGGCGAGACAGCCAAACCTGGTATTCCTGGGCAAATCGAGAGACTGTACCGGGATATCAACTCCATGGTGGATACTTTAGGAATCAACGCTCGCTCGTTGGCTTCTTTCTTGTTGTACCAGAAGGCGCCGCAGGATGATTCGGACTGGATCGAGACGCTCAAGGGCGACAACCCGGCCGCTGTCCTGGATGAGAAGCTCTTTCTCTCGCAGATCGAGGAACTTGATAATGCAGTCGTTACGCTGGCCGGCTCTCTCCAAAAGCAACGAGTGCAGGGCGTGGAAGCGAAGCTCGACAGCTGCAGAGACCTCTTAGGTAAAGACATTGTGGCTTTGCGGGGTCAATGTGCCAGCATTCGAAAGACACTCGATGCACACGTCGACACCGCAGCTATCCTCTCCGCACCTCTTTCCGCAGAACAAGCCAACCTTCAGCAAGACCTCCGAACAGCATCCACCGCCCTCCAGGCCAGGTTAGCTGACCTGGAAGGAGGAGTATCCCTCCTACGCGCTAAAATCGCTGACGCCCCTCGCGCCGACGGAGCAGCCCCCGCAAAGCGCCCAACAGTCGAAGCCGTTACATCCACCATCGCCACAATGATGAACATGGCCGAGAACAAGAGCGGCGACATCGATGTCCTTGAAGTCCAGCTCAAGAAACTAGGCATCGACACCACCGCACCTTCTGTCAGCCGTAGCCGCGAGGGATCACCGTTTACGACTCCCAGGAAGGGCATGCGGACGTTCCCCACTACGCCGGGCTCTCGGGGGTCTCTCGACGGTAGTTTCAGCGCTTACCACACGCCAGAATCTGCGTCGCGGAGCGTGAACTTCCGCTCCAGCATTACCGGATCTGCAGGAGTAAGCAGACTTCGTAATGTCGAGGGCGTTGGCACTGATGCTGGGGATCTGGTTGGTAAGCAGGAAAGTGAGCGGTGGAAGGCCAAGAATACTCGCAGACAACATCTTGTGGGTAACTTGAAGAAGGCTATTGGCGAGAAGAAAGAAAAAGTGAGAGGTGTGGAGGATATGTAGGATTATCGTTATTATCATGGTCCGTTTTTTTTTTTTTTGAGGTTTACGAGGATGAGGATTGACTGAAGTTGGGAATGAATGATTTTGAGCCTGTGTTTGTATGTACATAAAGTGCAAGATTCTCTTATTTTCTCTTTAATTTTTGATCATCAGCTTCAATATGAACATTTAATGATGGAGCCATTCTTCGCCTTGTATTCATATCAGGTCTACTCATAATTCAGTGATAGCATCACAAAAAGAGCGCTGACATCATCCCAGTGACATCAGCCAACACTCGACTTCAAATACGGACCTCCCCAGCAGAGCACAAACATCTTTCTTCTTCCTCAATCTCTCAATTGAACACAAAAAAGAAAAACAACACAAAACCACCTATCTCAAGTTCAGTACAGTCAATTTAACCTTCCTGCCACCTGTCAACCAAAGCTTGTCCTGCTATCTGCATATCACTCTGTACATCCTGCAAACCCCGCACAAGCTACAAAAAAAAAAAAGACAGCAACATGTCCCAAACAGCCGAATTCATTTTCTTCAAACTAAAACCCACCGTCAAGCCCGAAGGCCCCAACGACGAAGGAAATGAGCTCCTCAAAGTCTTCAACGCTACGAAGCAACAGAGCGGATACCATAGCTCTGCATGGGGGCGCACGGTCGAGGATGAGAGTGTTGTTGCTTGGATTATTGGTACGCCTCCCTTCCCCCATACCTATCCATTCAGATCGATGGAGAAAATGAGAGGATGCGATGCTAACGATGTGATGCAGTCTGGACCGACGCCCGCGGCGCCAGCCACTCCGCCCAACTAGCCCCCTTCCTCGAACCCAACACCTCCGTCACAACCCTCTACACAACCCTCGTGCCCTCCCTCACAGACACCGAGACTCTAACCACCAACCCCGTCACCGAGCTCGTAGCCCTCTCCTTCCCGACCTCGTTGAACCCAGACGAGCACAGCGCGCTAAACCAGAATCTGATTGACTTCCGCACTGCTCTGACGGAGAAACTAGAGGAGGGGAAGAGGCCTGTTTCGTGGTCTATGGGTCATGTGGACCGACCGGGTGGTGTGGAGCATACGGCCAGTCCGTCGGGACGGGCGTTTGTGCAGTTTGCGGCTGTTGGGTGGGAGAGCGTGGAGACGCATATGGCTGTTCGAGAGACGAGGGAGTTTAAGGAGACGATTCAGCCGATTCGGGAGAAGGCGTTGTCTCCGGTTGAGGGGTTGAAGATGAAACATGTTAGCTTCAAGAAGATTTGATTTTGTTTCGTGTTGTAATCCAAGCCTTGTATCTTGTTAAAGAAAATCCTCATTATTATGATACTGAGAAATGTAGCGACAAAATAAACGCCTTCAATAAAATACACATAAACGATATACCCGAGAAGAAACACACCAAGTCATTATGGCCACCATAAAGTATGACTTTTAGAGAACCACATCCGTTTATATTACGCACTAGAGCTTCTCTAGACACGGTGCTTTTCACTTTCTGTGATAGAATTAGCTACTGCTCACTTCTCTTGACACAATGCGGGGTCACTCACCAAGTCGCGAATATAGCATGTAGAGTGCCATCTGGTTGCACTCTTGAGTACCGGTAATCGTGACCAACCGCTCGTTGCTGCTTTCTTGCGGCTCATTGATCTTGATCACACTACCACTCAGATGCCGGATCTCGTTGATCTTCGCACCGCCCTTTCCGATAATAGCACCGACCATATCGTTGGGGATGTAGATCTGCTGTGTTAATGGCTGACCGGGCATAACTCCACCAACTGGTGCCGCAGGTGTCGGAGCACCCCGCGCCGCGGCAGGCTGGGGACCGTAAGGCGTGGGACCCTGCGGGCCGGCTCCGGCGTATGCGGCGTGAGGAGCAGCAGCGGCAGGAACAGGGGTAGGACCGTAGGGCATGGGTTGTGCGACAGGCGTAGGTGCAGGCTGGCCGTGCATATAAGGAACACCGTAAGCGCCTGCTGCGGCGCGGTTGGGGTGAGGGTGATGTCTCCTAAAAGTTTCGGGGTGACCGTATTGACCACCAGCCGGCTGAGGGACGTAAGGCACGACCTGCATGCCACCAGGCACTGCTCCAGCGGGACCACCGCTCCGAGTAGCGTACGCAGAAGCTGCCGGTCCTCCAAAGCGTTCAGTAAGCTGCTCAACGAGGGTCACGGCGACGTAGTAGGTGGCGATGTGTACGGCATCAGCAACACCGAGGATGACGAGAGACCGTTCAGTAGACAAGGGAAGGCAAGCGTCTGAAGCGTTCAGGCGGGCACCGGATGCCTCCTGGATCTCACGAATGCGCACACCGGCCTTGCCAATGATAGAACCGATGAGGATATGAGGGATTAGTAAACGCAGAGGATAAGTCTTGGACTGGGCAGTGGAAGGAGCATCAAGGGGTTCATTGTTGAGGGTACGAATGATCAGACCAAAAGCCTAGATTCAGTTAGCATTATCTACTGGTAAGAGATTGAAGCAAACAATTTGCAACTTACCTTAGCAACAGCATCCTGAGGACCGCTGACGGTCAAGATACGTTCCACTGCACCACGAGAGTAGTCGCTAACGGTGCATTTGGCTCCCGACAGACGGCGGATCTGGGACACATTCTCCCCACCTTTTCCAATAACAGTGGCAGCCTCCTGGCTCGAAATTACAGCACGGATATGGATCCAGCTCGACTCATCCTGAGGACGGCTGTCCGACTGAGAGCCAGCTCTCTCTGAATGAGAAGCAGTTGACTGAATGGGCTGGGTCTCCGAAGAGGCACCCTTACCGTTGGGAGCATCGGGAACAACAGTGTCTCCCTGGCCATCGGCCGAAGCGACCTCAGTCTCGTCGCCCTTAACTACTTTGTCCAGAGCAGGACGCTTGGCCTCTGGCTGGTCATTGGGGCCCGAAGGCGACGAAGGGTCCTCCAAGGGACGCTTGGTCGATTGCAATGGCGACGCAGACATGATTTTGTTTCAGCTGTGCAGTAGTCTTGCTTGACTTACGAAAGAAGCCGTAGTGTCAGGAGAAACAACGTTTCTTGTCTTTGTTTGTTTTTATTTGATCGATTATGTACACCAGGAATTCCCAATAAAACCTGCTGGTGCTGGCGATCGACGGGAGAGGGAATCTGGTGCTTGAAGTGTGATTGGGAAGTGCTGGTGATCGTGCAGTGCAAAGTGTGAGGTTGGAGAGGTGGTCGACGAAAGGAGAAGTGTATATGCTGGGTTTTGACTTGAGCAGACGTGATAGGCTGCTCGAGTCTGGTGCGATGAAGCGGAATACAAGTACTGGAGAGATGAAGGAGTATTCAGGGTCCGAGCGAGGTTAAAGGTTGACGGGTGTGGTGAAGATCTGAGCGCTGGGGAAAAGAGTAGGCAAATAGGGAAAGCACAATGAAGTCTTGAAACACAAATAGCCAAAACCTGGCGCCCTAGTCTTAATTCTCCCACAAAAATGCAAGAGATTTTCCTAACGCTGTAGAAGCCAGATGATCCGCCACACAACCTGAAAAGGGGGGAGCTATCGGATCTCAGTCCAATGACAAGGAACACAAGTAATCGAGAACGTCGGAGCGAGAAATACGCTGCGACAAAGATGGTAAGAGCAAAGAAGCTGTTGAAAACGGAACGGAGCCGATGAAGAATGAGCAATAACAGAAGGAAAGCGCGAGGAGGAAGAGATGATGTTGCAAGACGAGGTCGGGCAGGCGCCGGGCACGGGATCAAGCTAGGCCTAGTTGGGAAACGCGCGTGTAGGATCACGTGGGGCGATATCAAACGGCATCAACGGTTAGAACATTGCACAATGAACACTCATGTATTGACGCTTAATCGCGCCAGCTTATTCGGAATCTGAAAATAAAATTCTAGGCTCACGGGGCTTGATTGGATTTGTATGAAGTTCCGAGAACCATCGACGCTCCTGACGCTCCTGACGCGACATGGATGTATCAAAGGAGACCATCACGAAGATCCAGCACTTTTCGGAAAGGCGTCAGAAAGCAGAAGATGAATTTTACCAGCAACAACTTGACCATACATCTATTCAAGATTATAACCAGAAGTTGGATGTGACATTAAAGGAACTACAAGACCAAGTCAAACACCAAGATGATGAACTGAAGGTGCGCTTGTGAACATAGCACCTCAACCAAGAATAAAGACCTCTAACATCTATAGTAGCATACCTCCAATACATTCGAACTCTCAAGCATAGGCGCGGACTCCCAATCCCGCCTATCCCAAGTACGAAGAGCCAAGAAAGCATATGACTCTCTCCTAGGGTCAGAACACGAATTGCCCACACCAGGATCCCCGTTACCATCTCTACTAGCCATCGAAGAGATATCCCAGCTGGTAAAAGAAAGCAAATTATCAATCTCTATGACAACAGAGAAGCTCTCCGCCAACCGCCAACGCTTAAAGACTGAAGAAGCAAACCTGCATGATGCCCAGGCGATCAGGAAGGGGTTAGAAGAACGAATCGCAAAGACCCGGAACGAGAAATCTAGGAAGAAGGAGAAATCACCATCTCAGCTTGCGAAGGAGCTCATTGAGCAGAAACGCGCGAAAAATGAAGAACTTGACAAAGATGCGGCCGACTTGAGAGCTTCTTTGCATGAGTTCGTTGACGAACAACTGGCTGCGATGCTTGCCGCGGAAGGTCTAGGGGGACCGACTGTTGGAGATGCACTAGAAATCCCCGATACCACGCTAGAGGCGGGCTACACAAACCACGGGAAGCCTAAAAAGCCGAAAGATTCGAATACAGATCAGGATGGCGGCCAGCAACGGATAGATCAGCTTATGCGCCGGCAATCAGGGCGAGAGAACGATCAACAATCAAGCCCATCTAATAGAAGGGAGGCAGCGGCAGCAGAAATGAATACGCTTCTTGACTCCTTGATTGACGCCGATAATTCGTATATTAACATCTCTCGAGAGTCAGCGGCCCCCAGGTTTCTAGTGAGAGCGAAGGTCGCCCAGTTCCACCCTCGTGATGCTAGACGGTTACGGTTGATTGATTTTGGACGTTCTTTGAGCGATTGAGTTTATTTCAATAAGAGTCTATATAATGCAATGGACAGATATGAGTATCTGATCAAACAAATCCTTCGAATTGTACATTGAAGCCACAGTATATAGCCCACGAATTCATCACTTTTCAAGAACACGCAGTACCAGTAGGAAGGCAAAGGCTGGGAGTCAATTACCAATACAATGCCTAGGGATACAACAAAAATGATCGGGTCGTGAACAATGCAACACGCAAAACGCCACACAAACCACGTAAAGGGATATCATCATGTAATTAGCAACCAAAAGACAAATAGAAACAATTCAAGTAGGCATTATGGGGATTCGGGACGTAGAATTAGAAGATTTTACTTTCGTAGGTTTCCGAGATGATGAAGGGCGATTACTCATACCATAACCAGACTTTGGTGTTTTCGATTTCGAGTTTTTCGCTTTGAATCCCGAGCTAGAAGGGGTTTTCCGGCGTGATCGTTTGCCAGGCTGGCGCTTTCGGGGTTTAGGGCCGCTTTGTTCCGAAACAGCATCTTGAAATTCGTCCGACGAATCATGCGATAGAGGTGGTTGTTCGGGGAAAAACCGACTAGAGACGGTGTTGCTTTCGTCCAAGTCGAAAAGGCCCGATGTTTGATCCTCGAAGATATCATCGCCGCCAAATTCGTTGTCACTGTCAAGATTGATGACATTGGTATGGTTCGGGTCCGCAACAACACCATCGGCATCCTCGCCGTCCTTTTTGAGTTCCGCGAGCCGGCGCCGTGTATTTTTCGCATACTCCAATATCTTGTTCCCGTATCGCGCAATTTTGTCAGTGTCGATTCCAGGAATGGCAGCAAGTTCAGACAGATCTATTTGATTATTAGTAATCTCATCAAAGCGCTTTAGAGAGGCAAGGAGATGTCCTACCTTTGGGCAACCGTATGGCTACTTTACGCAGAATACCATCCGTGAAAGGTTGATTACGGAGGCCCTTTTCCATCATTATCTATTATGGGTCAGTATGTCTTGCCATGGATAGCAGTAATCATGCTGGGCAACTCACCTGCTGACAAGTTTGCTTAGCGAAGTACATAAAATCTTCTGCAACGGCCTGATGAAGCTGGTCAAGACGAGAGAAATCGCCATCATCAGTTATCGGTGGACCCAAGCTCCGCTTCTTTTCTTGCCGCGGTTTGCCAGCAACCCGGACTCTCTCAAAACCATCACTATCCTCGCCGTCAGAATCTTCGTCTTTAGATGCCCGGTGCTGGAATTTGGCCAGACGACGGTGATTCGCTGACTGGACAGGCGAGGACACGTTCGTGGACATCGGCTGATCGTCATTTCCACCTGGACAGGTGCGAGTAGTTGACCGTGCTGCTTTATTGGGTGAGAGCCGTACTTGGAGCTTCAAATCACGTCGGCCACTCTCGAATTCAGCAGCGCGTCGGCCCAATTTGAGATACTGGGTCGCGAAACTGCTGGCATTGACCACGTTGTGTTCTCTAAACGCCCCCTCGCTGAGTAGTCGTTGGAAAAGCCTCTCCGCCTCCGCTAGCTCCAGAGCTGAGCCGGCTCCATTCCACGGAATCTGTCGGTGATCGGGAGACCTAGGTCTTTTCACGCTACCACGAAAGATGTTCACGCAGTATTGTAGGGTCACGTTCTCATTTAACGTTTCTTGAAAATGACGCACTAGTTTGATAGCGGAAGAAGCGTATTCGGAGAAGTCACGCGTTTCGAAAACCGAATCTGACTTGCAATTATCACAGGATTTATTGCAATGCTCGCGACGAAAGTACTCGTTGAAATAGGCGAGAATCTGCACCCGTCTGCAATCACTTTTGTTCTCGCTATACTGGACGACGTTCCGTAACATTTTGCGCTGCCGCTCTTTCTGTGCCCAATCACCGTCACCGCTGTCAATCATGCGGTTTATCATCGACGTATCTTTGTAGGAATAGTAGAGGTAGCAACCAGAACGCTTACCATCCCGCCCAGCACGTCCAGTTTCTTGGTAATAGCCCTCAAGGCTCTTTGGGATGCTATGGTGGATCACAAATCGAACGTCTGGCTTGTCAATCCCCATTCCAAAAGCAATGGTTGCGACTATGACATTATAACGGCCGGACTGCCAACGCTGCTGTACTTCCGCTTTCTTGGCTGTCTCGATACCCGCATGATAAAAAGCAGCCTTGATTCCTCTCTCCTGGAGAGCTTCCGCAACTTTCTCACAAACCTTCCTTGAGAGACAGTAGACTATGCCGGATTGGTTCCGATAAGATGTCTTGATGATGTTTTCAATGCTGTCCAGAAGCTCAGCCCCCTTTGGCTTCGGACGCACATCGTACGTCAAATTAGGGCGGTTGAAGCTTTGCGTAAATACTCGACACCCCTCCATTTTGAGATTATGTATGACGTCCACCTTCACATTTTCCGTTGCCGTAGCAGTCAATGCCATCATCGGAACCCCCGGCAGCTGATTGCGAATCTGTCCTAGCTCTTTATAATCGGGCCGGAAATCGTGTCCCCATTGGCTAACGCAATGAGCTTCATCAATGACGATCCGTGCAAGTCTTTGTCTGCTGTGAAGACTCTCCAGGATTCTATTGAGAACCTGGTTTTTGTTTATCATTTCTGGTGTTATATAGAGCAGCTGGATATGCTCATCCGCCCCGTGGCGAGCAAGAGTGCTCAACACCTGTGTTCTTTCTTCCTTTTTGGTATCCTTGTTCAACAATATGGCCTTGATCTTAAGCCTCTGTAACTGGTCGACTTGATCCTGCATCAAACTCAGCAATGGAGATATCACGATCGTGACCCCGCGGGTAGTGCCGCTGGATACAACGGAGGGCAATTGATAACACAATGACTTTCCTCCACCCGTCGGCATCAGAATAAATGTGTCCTTCCCGCACAGAGTAGCATCGATAGCCTCGAGTTGGTTCATTCGAAAACCCCGTAAATGAAATCGGTCCTTCAAAGCATTTTTTACATCCATTGACCATGAATGTTGATTCCATAGAGCGGTCCGAACCGGTGACTTGTTAGGCGAAAGAACGCGGATAGCATTTGCAGATGTTTCCCCAAAAACCTTGCGGCCGTGAGATGCATAATTATCAACTTCGGGAGATCGATTGCCCTCGAAATTTCCGGCAACTTCCAACATATCTTCGTCATTCGCGTCCAAGTCAAATTCATCTGCTTCAAAAGCGGGAGACGACGGCAAACCCATTGTGCGCGTAAAACAATCCTCTCCTTTACTCATCGGCTCGTCATAATCAAATACTGCAGACACGTCGTTGTCCATTGTTGTTCTAGAAACTGGTGCCATTGCAGGAGCTGAGACGCCCGCTCGGGACATAATGTTGGTTGACGTTGGTTGCGCAGGAGACACAAACAGAGGGCTCCCCGCACGGTTAGAAGTCATGGCACTGCTTTCTGTATCACGATTAAACCTGTCACTACTAGGTTTTGGTGTTGTGGAGGCCAAAGAATGTGAAACCATGTCGAGGATGTCAGCTTGTGAAAGAAGATCACGCATTGCTTCCTCGATCTGCCCTAGTTCTGTAGACACAGCCCGACTTTCCGCAAGTTCAGGCATTGTCGAAGGGTCATCTCCTTCAGATATAGCCCGAATGAGCGACTTCTTTAAACTGTCTTTCTTCGATTGGCAAGCCTTGTGTGCAGTTTTTTTCTGTTTTAGTTGTTCAATAGCCTCTATCCGGCCTTTGAGGGTTTTGTTGACGGTGATGAGTTCAAGTGCTGGTACGCCCTCCATTGCCTGTTGGTATACGATCTCTGCGTTCTTTGTAAGCGAACCCTTGAGCTCCGTGATTGCATTATTTAGAGAATCAACCGAGAATTCTAAGAATTGCACGATATTCTCATCTTGCGGAGCCTGGGAGCTGGTCGGAAGCGGAGATGAATAGGTAGGCGTTCTTTCAGGGCTTGCTTGTTTGTTGGACGATGGCCTCTTAGCGGGAGATCTAATAGCTGGGATCGGGGAATCGTCCTTTTTGAATGGTGGTGCAGACGTCCGTCTCGGTGATTCCCATGTCCTGCCATCTTCGTGGTTATCCGAGTGATCCTCTTCGGGAAGAGCCGGATACAGCCCATCGTCGTTTTCCAGGATCGGATCATCTTCTTGTATCCAGTCGTCAAATAGGTCATCATCGCCATCGTCGCCATCGTCGTCGGAATCACGAATTACCCGGTCTTCTGTACGAGCGCACTGCTTGGTTGGTGAAGGAGTATGGCGGTGTGCCGTGGGAAAAACATGTGGTGTCGGGTCTTTGGAAGCCGTAAATTTACTTAATGCTAATGGCGAACGGACTTTTGGAGCGTGTCTCCTTGGCGACAAAAGATCGGATTTGTATTCATCGCTTTTCCTTTTCTTCCCTCGTTTCCCGTCGGGTTCTTTCCGAGACGCAGCATCTGCCGTCCATAGCCGACGCGGTTCGCCAAATTCTTCTACCGTGCCAGATGACGGAGCTGCGGGCAGCTCAATATCGCCTGTCAAGTCAATGGCATCGATATCCAGTGCCGGTGAATCGAGGCTAGAGGTGCGTTTGGGCTTAATGGAGGTCACTGTAGACTTTTTGAAAAAGCTTTGCGACGAAGGAGACATGTCGTGATCGTTATCTGTCTCCGACATCTGTTAGCCTTTCTAAGCGCATTTCACTCATTTGTCCTGACTTAGTCGCACCTTTATGAGGCCGCACACCCCGATATGCAGTAGGCGATTTCTCGGAAATACGCTCAAGTGACTTCCTAGGAGTCCTTTCGAAGGGTGTCTTAGAAGAGCTCAACAGCTGAGGTTTATTCGTCGACTGTGGAGCGAATTGCAATCGTGCCATATTCGTGTCGGCATACGCCTCATTGCTCCCCGTATCCTCGACAATCGTCCCCGGTATCCTCTCCAAATCACTCTCCCTGCCAACAATCGAACCAGCGCCTGTCTCACCTAAAGTTGAAATTGGTTGTGCTGGAACAGGGTTCCGAGTGTTGGTATCGTCCCGGGTCTCGTGTGCGGAGGGTGTCAAAGAGGGGTAGAGCGAAGGGCCTTGCTTCACAAGCCATTTGAGGTGAGTCGCTAAATTGTTTTTAGTCATAGAGGCGTGTTTCGGTTTTATTCATTCTGCGGCGCTCTCATTCAACAACCTGCGAACGTGCCGGACTCTTTTGACGTATGTCGCTCTTCGACTTTAGATCACACCAAACCCAAAAAAGCGGAACGCGTTTCGACGCGTCATCACGTGGACGGTGAAGTGATTTAGTTTATACCTGAGGCGATAAAGGTATATATATGCTTTTAGCTGCTGTATTAGGCTCAACTTTCATATACGGATTTAATGGCTCAAATTTTGTATAAATTTGCTTTTTAGAAAATCTTCGATCATAAAATGGCTTTTCTATCAGTATTGGCGCTCTGATATCCTGTTATCAGCGTAATTGGCGACATTCTGTACGGCGGGGGAAATTTTTTTTCTATAGAATCCCAACCCCACAATTCCAGAAAACTACAACGCACCAGTTCTTCAATATTGAATACATTATCTCTAAATAATTTTAGAGATAGACCAACTGATATACCACCATGGGTAAAAAAGACAAAAAGAAGACCGCCGAACACAAGGAACGAGTAGCGGCCAAGCAAAACAAGAAAGCCGACAAAAAGGACAAGAAGGGCAAGACCAAGGGCCGCGGCGATGCAGACAGTGATGTGGAAGAGGCCGATCTTGATGCGATCCTGGCCCAGTATGCAGAAGAGCAAGCCAAGTTCCTGAAAGTCACAGAAGTGGTTTCGGGACCGCCTACGCCTCGGTCTTCTGCGACGGTGCTTGCATCGCCGTCCAACCGGAATGAATTATTGGTGTATGGTGGAGAGTACTTTGATGGGACATTTGCAACATTCTTTAACAATCTTTTTGTCTATTTGATTGATCGGGGTGAATGGAGAGAGGTTACGAGTCCGAATAGTCCACTTCCTCGGAGTGGTCATGCTTGGTGCCGGGGAGGGAATACTGGTGGTGTATACATGTTCGGGGGAGAGTTTTCTTCGCCAAAGCAGGGCACATTCTATCATTACAATGATTTTTGGCACCTTGATACGGCAACCAGAGAATGGACTCGAATTGAGACCAAGGCAAAGGGTCCTCCGGCACGAAGTGGTCACAGAATGACCTACTACAAAGTAAGTCTGGAGCCTTTTTTGATACATAATGTATGCTAATTTGCCTAGAACTACATCATCCTCTTTGGAGGGTTCCAGGATACTTCGCAACAGACCAAGTACCTTCAAGACTTATGGATATACGACTGTGCTAGATACACTTGGTTCAATCTTGTGCCAACTCAGAAGCCTGATCCTCGTTCATCTTTCTCATTCTTACCACACGAATCCGGTGCAGTGTTGTATGGTGGTTACTCTCGTGTGAAGGCCGCTGCTGGAGGCAAACAGATCAAGGGTGCCCCACAACGCATGGCCATGAGGCCAATGGTGCATCAAGATACATGGTTCCTTCGGATCACGCCTCCCGAATCGGATGCCTCTGCAAGCACTCCACCCACAGTGCGCTGGGAGCGCAGAAAGAAGCCTGCCAACTCGCCTAATCCACCGCGAGCAGGGTCTACCATGGCTTACCACAAAGGACGTGGTATCATGTTCGGTGGTGTTTATGATATTGAGATGAGTGAGGAGGGGATTGATAGCGAATTCTTTGATTCCATGTTCGCCTGGAATACGGATCGGAACCGTTTCTTCCCGCTTACCCTGCGGCGTCCAAGGGCGCCAGGAAAGAAGCAGGCTGCGAACCAGATGAAGGCCAAGAACCGAAGCAAAGCGGATGAGGAGGAACTTTTGCAGAACCTCAAAGCATTGGAAGTTAAAGGAGGCATTCGCGATGATGATGAACTCGAATTAGATACCCCTAAGGCAGCGGAAGAAGAAGAGCCCGAGAAGCCTGAGAAGCAAGCCATCGTCCGTTTTGAGATGCCTCACAGGCGGTTCAACGCCCAATTAGCAGTCCAGGATGATACTCTCTTTATCTTCAGTGGAATGTTTGAAAAGGGGGACAAGGAATTCACTTTCAACGACATGTACTCGATTGACCTGGTCAAGCTCGACGGCGTCAAAGAGGTCTTTTACAATGAACCCGAGAACTGGAACCTTCTTGAAGAGGAAGACGACAGCGACGAGGATATGGACGATGACGACGAAGAGGAAGAAGGCGATGTAGAAGAAGAAGCGATGTCGCTTGATGCTGCTTCCCCCGCATCTACTGAGGTGACAGTGCCATCCGCCACTCGTGAAATGGAACAGCTCGAGGTCGAAGAATCAGAGCCATCTGCCAATGATAGCAAACCCCTTCCTCGTCCTTTTGAAAGCTTGCGGGAGTTTTTCACCCGGACATCTGAAGAGTGGCAGAAAATCCTGATTGACACTATCAATGAAAAGGGCATAGAGATGGAGAAGAACGTGAAGGAGCTCCGGAAGGATGCTTTCAATATGGCAGAGGAGAAATGGTGGGATAGTAGAGAAGAGGTTATGGCACTGGAGGATGAACAGGAAGCGGCTGGTATTGGGGAGGTGGTCAGTATGGCTGATAAAGCTGACAACATGGGTGGTGCCGGGCGTCGCAGGTAACATAAAAGTTTTTCGTGTGAATTTCTTGTGTATATATCCAATCAGGTTTTCATTGATCGCATGCTGCTCTACATCAATCTGAATATAGATGTTATGGAATGTACACGTATGCTCGACAATGCAATCAAGATACTGTCTCTGCACTGATCTTGTCTAGAACATCAGTTACGAGACCGAAATCCCTCTCCACATTAACCATGCAGCTTGCAATGGCGATTCGACAAGCCGGTTTCCCTTGCCAGGCAGTTCCAGACACGAACATTCTTAACGTCGCATTGATTTTAGAGCTGAGCTCCCGGTTCAAGTTCTTTCGTTTAGCGCAAAACAGGACAATCATATACGTTTGCTCTACTAGCTCATCCTTACTGCTTGTCTCTGGCAACACTGTATACTCGGTATGGTCGAACAACCACCCTGCTATCTTCCTGGCCAGCCGGATCTGCCTCTGCAGCATGTCTTGATAGCCCGTGCGCCCAAGTGATAGAAGAGATGCATAGACTGGCAACGCCCGGAATCGCCTGGAGTTCTCGATTCCGATGTTCAGAGGAGATTGGATATCCTGTGTAGCACCAGACGCAAGATAGGCCGCGTTCGCATTTTGGAACACATTTGAGGCCTCCTTTCCATGGCGGCAAAGAAAAAAGCCACAGTCATAGGGTACGTTGAGCATTTTGTGACCGTCCCCGGCAATTGAGTCCGCGAGTTCAATCCCCTCACATCCGGCCTTGAGCGAAGCAAACTCAGCGCTGTCGTCAAAGATTCGGCATTGGATTCCAAAGGCTCCGTCCACATGCAACCAGGCTCCGTACATATCGCAGAGTCTGCGCAGCTGCTGCATGTCTTCAATGCCATTTGTCGCAAACCGTCCTGTGTTGACTTCGCCGCATGACACGGAGACGATACTGACTTTATCGGACCTTGCGAGCTCAGTATCAAGCTGTCTCATATCGAATTGTAAAGAATCTCCCTCGAGAGGTACATTTTTTACATTAACACGTCCGATTCCCAGTGCTGCTGCAGCCTTTGCAAGTGACGAATGGGGTAGAGTCGAAAGAACCTGCACTCCGGAGAGACCAGCCGCCTGCATCACTTCAAACAGTCCATACTCTCCAACGCTCGCAACTAAAATCCCCTTCTTTTCCGCTGCTGCTCGTAAAACGAATTCTCGTCCACATCCCAAACCCAAGATGTTACTGGCCGTCGCACCCGTCGTAAATGTTCCATTATGCCACGATTGCCGGTCCAGCCGTAGCAGATCAACTAGCAAACCCAGCGCATTATATTCAATGTCTGTGGCGATTGAGTGCTCCTTGAGATGTACTTGTACGTTCTGGTCAAACGTAGACACGATATTGTCGGCAAACAGGGCCGCTGGGGCAACCCCGCCAGTCACAAAACCGTAGTAATTGGAGGAGAGGCTGCTGTTGTTGAATGCTGGAACTAGATCGTCTATGATATGTTTGATTGTTTGGTCATATCCAACACCATCAGTGGATAAAGCATTTGGTAAAGCGGCTCTGGCATGCTCCAGATCATTTTCACTAGGCAGGACCCCTGACTTATGACGGCTCACTGCAGCGTTCCGTATGAGGCTTTCGAGGCTCTTCCCTCCTTGTATGGTATATTCATGATTGCCAACCATCTTGATTTGGGATAGTATGAGTCTTGGATGTCAAAGAGATTCTTTGTCATGGAAACGAGAAGTGGGAAAGAGAGACCAGATTCCCGAAGGAATCGTGCAGAGGTTGAGTCACGCTTTAATATAACTATATATGCACACCGCGCCATTTTTTGGCACCAGATAAGAGCTTAATTTTATATGAAGATAACAGAGCCTATTATTATGCATGTTATACAAAATATGAATTGATAGTAACATAGAAGTTGGCAACCGATATGAGAATGCTCAGCGCTCGGTTATATATCCCCATTATGCTGTATTCTGTACTCTCGTTCCAGTCATTCATCCTATTTCACCCTAGATAATTACGCTATTATTTCTCTCTTCACTTCAATTATTACTTGAACTTTGATTGTCTATTTTTCATCAATTCATCCTGGAGTGGACACATCAAGGTCCCTCTTGGCGCCGCGGCATCGAACAACCCCTAGAGGAATCTCACCAACAACAAAACATATATACTCGAAGAAACATGAACATGGCTGCAAAATTGATCGAACGAAACTTCCACAATGTTCCGGGTATGTGTCTGCGATACTTTTTACACTGTTAGTAGTAAATGTTGACACGCCACTGTAGGAAAGCTCCGCGTGGCAGAGCTGTTTTTTGACGTCCCACTCGACTACAGCAAGCCAAACGAGGGCACTTTAAGACTCTTTGCGCGCAGTGCCCGTCGGCCAAGCAAGCCAGCTGAACCTGAAAGAAACGGAGACAAGCAATTGCCTTGGATGGTTTATCTTCAAGGTGGTCCGGGAATGGGATGTCGTGCCCCGCAAGATTACGCCTGGATTGGACCCGTTGTCGACAAAGGCTACCAAGTATGAGATCCTTCCCTTTATTGGAAACACTGCCAACTTATTCTGTTCAATCGATCGGTACTTATGTCTAACTATGAATATAGGTTCTGCTTTTGGATCAGCGCGGCACCGGACTCAGCTCAACCGTTACCGCGGACACGCTGGCTCGACAGGGAAACGCAATCAAACAGGCTGAATACCTGAAGAAATTTCGAGCAGATAATATTGTTAGTGACTGTGAGGCTATCCGCCGTTGTCTGACGGCGGACTATCCCGAGGACAAGCGCAGATGGAGTGTTATCGGTCAAAGCTTTGGTGGATTCTGTGCAGTGACATATCTTTCCATGTTGTATGTGCCTGCCTTTTTAACGTTGATTGATTGTCTCTAATATTTGTATCCCTACGACGATAGCCCAGAAGGGTTGAATGAGGCTTTCCTTTGCGGCGGAATGCCTCCAAATGTTCACGAACCGGAATCAGTTTACTCTCGCACTTACGGTGTGTATAAAGACTCTACTGGACCTTTTTACTGTACAGCTAATTTGTCGAAGAAAAGGTCACAGAGAGAAACAAAGCCTACTATGCTAAATACCCTGAAGATGCTGCCCGGGTTAAGCAGATCATTCAACACCTGCAAGAGAACCAAGTCTCCGTGGCTTCTGGGACACTCACGCCTGCGCGAATCCAGCAGCTTGGTATCATGTTTGGCATGCATGGTAAGTGCGGCGATCAACATAGTATGGTTATCTTGTTTAACAAAGAATAGGTGGCCTGGATAGTATTCATGGTAAGACCACCGCTATCGAGCAATTAAGATACCCTTCTAAACAAAGCAAAAAGATCTGATTCTCCGCGCTTCGAACGATCTGAACATATTTGGCTTTTTGACCCGCCCGACTCTTAATGCTATCGATGGATATGGTGGCTTTGATAGTAATGTCATCTATGCTGTCCTTCATGAGTCCATCTATTGCCAGGGGTAGGAGCTCACTCATCTGACTAGAAGCCCCATTGTGCTAACAGAAACAAGACAAGCCTCGAACTGGACAGCAGACAGACAGCGGGCCGAAGATCCGTACTTCCACGTTGATCTGAACAAAGATCAAATCTACTTCACTGGCGAGATGGTAAGACAGGACATCCCTCCTTCCCTGTCAGAAACAAAAGACCACTCATACCACGTTTGTCAATAGATCTATAAGGATATGTTTGAGTCATATACCGAACTCAAGCAACTCAGAGAAGTCGCCGAAATCCTTGCCTCCACAGAAGACTGGTCTGCACTATACGACTACAATCAGCTGGCCAATAACGAAGTCCCTGTCTACGCGGCTAGTTACGTGGATGATATGTACGTGCATTTGGAGCACTCGGATGCCATGGCCCAGAAAATCAATAATTGCAAGCGGTTCATCACGAACACTATGTATCATGATGCTCTGCGAAGCAAATCGGATGAGCTTATGCGTCAGTTATTTGCTTTGCGGGATGATTCGCTTGATTAAGGGCTTTATCTGGTGTGCTACACTTGGCGTATGAAAATCACAAGAGAAAGGTGAGTATATCAGCAAATCGTGGAATCATTCCAGCACTATATCCAACCGAAATAGAACGAAGACGTTTTTATCGTAAATCAATCGCAAATCAAGGCTATGGTAACCACCCGACAAATCTATTCTAGAATATCTATGACAGTCAGCTATCATTGTCCAAAATTGCCTACTCTGGTAAATGTACTTACCGCACCCCCAATAATGAACAACCTCTCCTCCTCCTTCTGTACCCATTGGACAATCTTGCTCGCGCTCTGCGCAAGCGCATTTCGATTCGCGTTCGGACCAGAAACGCAGTACAGCTCGAACATCGGTGTAACCCACGCGAATGAGGTCGCGGACTGGGAAACGCAGTAGTGAACTTTAACGTGTGTATGCTTAGCATGGATGCTCGTATGGAGGTTGTTGTATGTGGACATTAGTCTGGGCGCTTGGTTAGTTAAAATGTTGAAAGAAAGGGACATGACAGAAAAAGCAAACCTTCGACGTCGTGAGATACTTGAGAAATCGGGATCAAAGGAGGACATGGTAAATTGAACGTTTGCTTTGGATTTGTAAAGAAAGTGGTGCAGGACTGTTCCGGGGACGATATCGGTGGTGTTAGGACGGCCTTTGTCGACAGCGGCTTTAATTATCTTGATGCTTTTGGTTTTCTCGAGTTGCTGTGATCATGATTAATCTTTCCGTTTCGCATTGAAAGTGGGGAAGTGTACCGACCTCGACAAGAGTATTCCGCATCTCCTGCAACTCGAAGAAACTCTCTTTGTTCGTGCTAATCAAGATAATCGCAACGGATTCCTCCTTCGTCGTATCCTCATCCGGAGCGTTGCTTGTCTCATCACGAAGGTCGAGAAAGCTGACATACATGTACAGATACCCAGTACTGTTGAACCCAGGCAGACATACAGGAATCCAGCTTTCACCACCGCCAGCCTTGACGCCCTCTGCTTCGAAAATCATATTGAACAGGAGCTGCAGGTCACCAGGGTGTAATGAATGTTTCTTAGGACGTACGACACTGACAAGTCGACCGCCTGCCACGACCAAGCCATAGAGCAGGCTATTGACTTTGGCTTTTAGAAGGGCATTGCTGATGGTTTGTCTGTGCGCCTTGCGGATCTTCAGACATTCCAATGCGGATAGAAGGGTAGTGGGAGAACCTTTGGTGAAGCTATCGGCCAATGTTGATAGAAGGCTTTCAGTTCCTTGTAAAGGTCGTTTTAGGTCGGTTGATGGGCGGACGGAGAATAGATGGGTTAAGGACGGGAGAGTTAATGTTGATAAAATCTGCATGTATAGGGCCTCGAGTTGGAGCCTAAGTTGATTATCGCTTTCCAGGAGCTGGCTAATTGCGACCAGGTACAATGGTCCTTTAGTGAGAACCAGGAATTTCGTGTCACCGGCCGTGAAACTGCTCAGGGGATCTTTCGCATCTTCATAGAATGAGATGATAGTCTGGATGACGCCTATATAGGTGGATATTAAACCTCCATCACCATGTCTAGTCCAAATGGGTTTCCCAGCAGCAGAGAGAATGAGATAGTGTTTCTTCTTTGCCTTCCATCTCTCAAGGATTAATTCTGCGATGATCAACATGAGTCAATATTGAATTCAGATAAAAGTACAAACCTTCATTTTCGCCATGTTCATCAACCTCCCCAACCGACTCGAACTCGCTCACGAAATCGTCCTCCACATCATCGGCCCGGAACTCGGGGAACAGGAGCAGACCGGTGCTGTCCTGGTGAACTGCCCCAGGCTCCGTTGCGATGAAATCATTAAATACATTTTCAACTTCACCAACGTCAGTATTTGGAATAGAACTCCTAATACTCATGGAGTCACCAGTCTCGCTTGCTTTGGAGCTTCCGATTTGGCTGAGACTCGTCCTGGCCCTCAGTGTCTCCGGTAGACCGCGATTGGGGACAGTGTCAGGAATTTGCTGTGATTCAATCTCAGTTAAAGATACTGCCGTAGTCGCCTTGGCTTGTAGATTAGATTGCGCCGTTTGTCTTTCGTCTAGCAAGTTCAATGTATTTGGCCGTGGTGGTAGGGGTGGCCGTTGCTCCTCAGAGCTCACACTGGGGTCTTGGCTGTTGCATTTGGTAGAATATATCCCTGGATGTGGCCCCGTGGGATTATTCTTCGGGTCATCGCCATTGTCACCCGATGATGCCTGTCCTTGAACATGCCGGTCCATAGTAGCGGGTTTTAGATTGTATGCATCGGAACCCGTCCCAAGATAGCGAGATTGCTCTCTTCAATCATGCAATTCCGCGACTCAGTTCCGGCCGAGCATCTTCTTAGTTAGTATTATTTGGTTGCAAGTTGATGGAGCATAAAGCAAACATTGTTGAATGAATAGGTTGACGTCGGGGGAGCCTAGCTCCCGAGCGGATAGGAACATCTCCGCCGCCTTTCTGGCTTCGTGTCCACCACCACTAAGCAGCCCCTCAGGCATTCAGTCTCAAATGCGCGAAACATGCTGAGGTGCGCTTTCACTAGCCTTTGTTTCACTGACGATTCGAGTTTGGCACCATGAGCCTTGATCCCAGCGCGTTCCCGAGGTCGATTTCTCCCGCCAGCTCCGACAGTTCTCTTACGCGCTCCCGACTACGAGGAAAGGAAGGTATGCGAACAGCTACCCCCGCTTGGTTGTTGTGGCCGTATAGGCTATTTTGATAATGACAAGAACTAACAATTGTGTGTCTCTCCAGATGACTTGAAGAAAAACAAGAATTACCGCCGTTATGCATCCAGCGTCGAACGGGCCTTGTCGCTGTTCGATACAGCGTTGCAGGAATGGGCGGATTACATCTCATTCCTCAGTCGCCTTTTGAAGGTGAGACTCGATCAATTGGAGGTTTTGGACGCCACTTACACTCTTCGTTCTTTAGGCGCTGCAAGCACACCCTCCTGAACTACCGGTGGTCCCTCACAAGGTGTTGGTATCGAAGCGGCTCTCCCAATGCTTAAACCCGACCCTACCGTCTGGCGTACACCAGAAGGCGCTTGAAGTATACACATATGTATTTGGGTTGATAAAGGTGAGAACCTTCTGGAAATAACGGAAAAGATCTTCTACTGACATACTTCCGTCTCAAACCAGTCCGAAGGCTTATCGCACGACCTACCTCTGTACCTACCAGGCATCGCGCCCACCTTAACGTTCGCCTCGCTTACTGTTCGACCGTTGTTTCTTTCCTTGGTGGAGACACACATGTGTCCGCTTGAACCATGGGCGATTAGACCGGCATTAAAGGCAATCCTGTTGGCCCTCCTGCCTGGACTCGAAGAGGAAACAAGCGACGACTTCGACCCTACGTTACGGCTTATCAACAAATTCCGCGACGCTGCTGGTCAAATGCATACACAGAAAGCCGGGGTGGAAACAGGGGTTAGCGGCCAGTATTTCTGGCAATGTCTTTTCCTTGCATCGATCACTAGTCCCAGCAGACGGTCCGGTGTTCTGGCTTATCTGAACCGTTATTTGCCCAAACTAGGCGTGACTGGCCGCAGGCCCAGTGTGGCGGAAATGGGGGATTCCATTGACATGTCCCCGGACATGCTCGCTGCAGCCAATTCTGTTATTCACCCGGAACCCGGCTTGTTGATTCGATGTTTCGCATCCGGCTTGTCTGATGAACAAGTACTCGTCCAGCGAAATTTCCTCGACCTGTTGGTGACTCACCTTCCATTAAGCTCACCAATATTGCAGTTGCGGATTACGAAAGATGATCTTCAGCGATTAATCATTGCAGCTGTTGGCGTTGTTGCGCGGCGTGACATGAGTTTGAACCGGAGACTATGGGCCTGGCTTCTAGGACCAGAGCCTGCAAATGAACGGTCGTCATTTGAAGGCCTCAATTTGACATCAGGTAACCCTAAGCAAGGCCCCGATAGCCGCGAGATCACCCAATCAGAATACTTTAATCGTTTTGGACTACAGTCTTTAGCTAAAGGCCTTTTGGAGACGATTGAGCAGGACCTGCATTTGCCATCTGAACGGTCAAGGCCCTTTCGAATGTCACTTTCATTAATGGATCGGTGGGAAGTTGGTGGGTACATTGTTCCAACAGTTTTCCTTCCCATCATGAAAAATGTGCAGGCCTTCGAGACAACGGCACCCAAAGAGCAGTTCGACGAAGTCTTCCGCAGTGCTAGCGCGTTTTTTGATGGAGTCGAAAGCGGTACCATCTTCTCTGAACTACTCGAACTTGTTGACTGGAAAGCCGGCGATCTGGGAAGTAAGCAAGACAAGGTCTTAGACAACCTGAAACTTGCGAACTTCATACTGGAAAACTTTAATGTGCGGGAAGAAGACATGGTCCTTGTCCATGCTCCTCTACTGGCGCTCTCTGTCCTGGTCAAAATGAACCAGTTGTCAGCTTTGCCTGAAGATCGCCCGGTGACTCGTGAGCAACGGCAAGCTACATCAAACCTACTGATCGGGACCATCAACAATCTGGTCGGACTGCTTACAGAACGGGCCTTCTTGAACAAGTCATCGCATGAGAGGAGGGTGTCAAACGCCAAACAAACTTCCAGTGCTGGACACAAGGACGTCTTGAATCAGATACACACCTTCTACAACAAGAGCAAAAATAGCCTGGATCTTCCACAGCTGCCTTTCCTTCCCAAGCAAATGAGCGAACTCATTGTTCGAGAAGCCCATGAATTAGCCATATCCTCTCTGGAAAGCCGTGTCAATATTTTCCCTATACAGGAAAGAGTGAACCTTCTCATAGCTCTCTTGAAGAAGGTTTCCAAGTCGCGTTCCCTTAACGACAGGCGGTTTTACCTGGCCATTTGCAACAGAATGCAGATGAACCAGGATGGAACAACCCCAGCGTCCTTCTCCGTTGTTTCTTCAGTCATATCGGCATTGACAAGTCTATATTTCATCCACTCACCAGGTTATTATGTCAGTTACGAGGACATCTCAGATTTGGTTCCGATTCTCGTCAAACAGCTTTGGCGGTTCTTGTCGCCATCGAGCCCCAAGTTCCACGTCGAAGCGGTGCGCTGTCTATGGAACATCCATTCAGTCTCGTGGCAAGACCACTTAGTTGAGGCGTCAATAACATCGTTAATGGTGGGTTCATTGCAGTCGCTGCCCTACCACGTTTCGTCAGAAGAGCAGGCTGGACGATATTTTGTTCTCTGGAACCATAGTCACCATGGCACGTATGAACTCCCTCCGAAGCAGGTGAATGATGTAGGGAAGTCCTCTTTCTCCTATCATTCGTCAATGCTGGAGCGACCTCTCTTCATTATTCTAGATTTGCTTTCCCAAGGTGCAAGTGAAGCATCCCAAGCGGTTCAGATGTGGCTTCAGGATCTGCCGTCTATACACAAGTAAGTTATCCCCTTGGTAGAATAACAAATATGATTTGCTAATATGCTATGGAAAAAAGGGTCGTCCGCATTGTTATCTCAAATCTCGATGCCCTGTTCTTGCGGGCAGCGCACAACGCGGTTGAAGGACAGAATCTTGCTGTCTCTGCGGATGACTACAAAGAATGCAATTATCTCTTCCAGACTATCTCAAAGATCATATCCGCCCTTTCGCCCAATGCGTGGATAGCTCTTCTCCACCACACGCTAGATGACAAAAGCAATAACGCATCATCAGAAGAACATCCCGAAGGCACGAATGTCCATTCGATAATTTTCAATGCTACCCTCAAAGTTGTTGGAGGACAAAGACCATCGGCCTCACATTTGAATGCTGAAGAAGTACGACTACAACGAACCTCCCTTTCTGTCATGCGTCAGCTTCTATTGGGTCCTGGTGCTGAAGATCTGGCCGACTCGGGTGTTGATACCTTCCTTGTCGAACAACTTGTTCTTGTGCTAGAAAGAGGTGGCAGTGTTGCAGTTCAAGGGGCAATCATTGATGCTCTGCTCGCAGCATTGAAGGTCCGATTTGCTCAAGCATACCTACCGCCACCCCCTCCAAGACCAAAACATCAAAGGACAAACTCCCGAGATCACTTGACGAGTCCTTCGCTACTGTCATTCACCAGTGACAAGGCAGACAAAGGGCATTCGGCTCCTGCCTTGCCTCAGCCTCCTCAACAACTTATGGAGTGTCTCCTAAAAGGAATCAGTTCCCCAAATTCTCGGGAGATACTGGACAAGTGGATATTACTTCTTTGCGAGGTTCTCGTCCCACTCTACTCCAGCTCTATATTCCATATTATTTTGAAGCTGGTAGAGTGCTTCTGCAAAGAGATAAAATCTTCCTACGAGAGCCTGCAGGTAGCCTTCAAGCAAACCGAGATTTGGCCGGAAGACCGGGCTGAACATGTGACGATTGCGCTATTGACTGGCCTTGAAACATGTATTGGGACAGCTCACGATCGGTTGCTTGTCGAAGAGTCGCATCCTCCAGTAACCAAGAGCCCAGACGCATCCCAAGGATTCTTCGGGAATATGGTTTCTGGAGTGTTTACATCAGACGCAAATCAAACACGTACGAGTGCCGCGAATAACAGACTAACTGTGCTCCTGTGCTTCCAAGATGCTGTTCGCTTGTGTTTCTCTATTTGGTCTTGGGGTGCGAGCGAACGAAACGGTCCGCCTCACGACTCCGAGTCCATAGCATCGTTCCAATACACCTCGCTGCGTATGCGGAACAGGTCACGTCGGATTCTGGAGCACCTTTTCACAGCAGAGGCGCTTGAATGTCTCGAAACACTTGTGGAGATGTGGATCAAATCTGATGCTGGGAATTCATCACTCATCTTCGATTTGCTTCACACGTTGGACGGTTCGCGGCCAAAGATTGCCATCCCGGCCATCTTTAATGCCATTTATACGCGGACCAATCCTCATGCACTGGACCCGAGTCGTAAATCTGCATTGGCATCCAATATTACGGAAAACGACCTCGCGGCATTTATGGTTACTTACGCTAGGTCGCTTGACGACGATGTACTGGATGAGATCTGGGCAGATTGCACCACCTTTCTGCGGGATGTTCTCAGCAACCCATTCCCTCACAGGCAAATTCTTCCACGTTTGGTTGAGTTCGCGGCCATTCTTGGGACGAAACTGGAGAACACGAACTTTGGTGACAACCGGAGGATGAGAAAGGAGCTCGGGGTATGTCTTCACTTGTATGGCGTCATTTTAAGACTACTAACACATTCGACAGGACGTATTGCTGCGCCTTCTTACCGCAGTGTTCACGAGTAAGCCATTTTCGACCGATTCAGGTCATGCCAGGAAGATATCGCGGGATTACGATGGTATTTCAGCTACGAATGTCGGGCCGGATGACATGTTGAGCATCCTTGCCATTTCAATGCCCGCATTTACAACTACACTGGGAGACTCAGATCGTATCAGTACGGCTACCACAAGCATATCCAGCAATGTCATCGGACCAATATTGCGTTCACGGCTTTTCCCCAATAACGTAAATCGCAGTGTATTAGTGCTGCTTCAACATATTGCCAGGGTTTCAGCTGCAGCCAAGTCATGGAAGAAGGACATAGCAGATGCCTTTAACGACCATCGGTTCTTCAGTTCCCAGGTAGACTTGGTGAAAGATGGCTGGATGAGTCTTCTGCGGCAATGGGTAATTGTGGACAAGGATCGACTGTCTGAGCTACTGGCTCGTCTTCCTCCGCCCAGCACAGCGGGCCTCATGTTTGGCGTGGGAGCATCAGCTGCTCGGCTGGAAGCTGACAGGAAAGCGCAATTGAACCTCCGCAGGATTGCTTTGCTCATTTTGTGCGCTAATGACGACTACTTCGCTGGTGAGCTACCTGGACTTCTTCGCAAACTGGAAGATCTTCTCGCGGCTACTAGCTCATCGTCACCTTCTTCTGCAACGAGGGCAGAGATATTCATGGTACTCCGCGCGTTGGCGCTCAAGACATCGACTACAACATTGATTCCCTTTTGGCCGTTGATAAACACTGAACTTCAAGAGGCCCTTTCTGCAGTACCAGCGGGACAGAACCAAGAGCTTTACAGCCCCTACTCAATGCTACAGGCTTGCAAGCTCCTGGACACGATGCTGGTCCTGGCCCCCGACGATTTCCAACTTCTGGAATGGTTGTTCGTGACCGATACAATTGATGCGGTTTATCCCCCGGATCGCTGGGAACCCATCGCTCTCGCCGACGAAGTTTCCCAGAGCCTGGGTGTTCAAAGTACATCATCCCCAACATCGCCTGTGGAAACTACTGAGTTCAACAATTCAACGCGAGAACCCTGGCTGACATCGGACTGGATCCGGGAGACAGCAAAGGACGAAATTGTAGAGCGTGTGCTGCGACCTTTCTTTGATCGGCTCAGCATCCATGCGTTTGAGAGTACTTATACCATGAGCAATCCGGATCTAGATGTTTGTCGCGATGATCTGCTAGCAGATTTGTTTAATGAGAGTACCATGGCGAATTAAAGAGGTATTCTCCACGATCTGAAAGTTAGGGATGTAGTTAGTCTCGGCTGCATGTGCTTAATTATGGCGTTCAGGCCTTGCGACCAAGATATCTTCTTTCGTGCCTATTCTTTAGCGCAAAGTATACAGAATTTCTCAAATATATTGTTTATGTTGTACATGTTTGGCTTCCAATAAAAATAAATGCATCACATGCTATGCTGTCGTGGTCTGACAGGCGGATAAAGGACCCATGGATGGCCCAGGATTTACCCGGCCAACCGAGCGCTCGGAAATCATCCAACGTCACTCCCGTCTAAGAACTACATACTCCTCAACTTCACTTCCAACCTCTCAAACCGTAAGTCCCTCCGGGAAGGATTCCCTTTATATTTACTTATATTCACATTCTGATTATTTACGTACAGTTCCAACATGTTCCCTCGCACACCAATCTTCTCACTCCTGCGCTCCGCAGCAAAGCCCGTGTCTGTGCCAGTTCCGGCGCGATATTTCTCGACCTCCCCGGCTCTTAAGGATGCGGGCTCGACGCTGCCGGCTAAAAAGCCTGTTGGAGCTTTTCGCGGGGGGTAAGATGTTCTGTTCTATGCTCTAGCTCTGATTTGTTTCATTGGTTACTCTTAGATGCTAACGGTTGTACAGGGTGCTGGGCTTTCTTGCTGGATCTGTGACTGCCGGAACGCTTGTTTATTATTACATCTTGCAAGAGTATCGGACGGCTAATGAGATGCTGTCGGAGGACATCTATGTATGTTCTCCCCTTTTCTTGCGGTCCTTTTGTTGCTGTCATTTTTATTCTGGGATAGAGGGTGCCCAGTCTTCTGAACTACGGAAGCTTTTCTTCCTCATCTCTCTTCACATTCAAAGCATTACCCAAAACCCCTTGTCGGAGTGCAAGCAAGACTAACCAGTGCTCCCGCGCTTTGAAACACAGGCTCTCCAATTGGCCACGCAACAGCTCCAGTCCTACGTTGTGGAGCTCGAAACCAAGGTGGACGGACTGCAGAAGAAGAAGTGATTGTATAACTATTCGACTTTAATTTATCTCTTGTTTATCTTCTGTCTTTTCTCGGGGGGGTTTTCTCTTCTGTTTGCCTGAGTTCACTGAGATTTAACCAGCAGCGCTACTTTGTCTGCCTATATTCGCGAATTATTGAAGCGGTGATATTCCTGTTATATAACCAGTTCAATGCTAGCGTATTAATTGAATTGACATCTCTAACCTGTCCAATCCAGCTCAATGCAGCACGTAAAAAAGCTCCCTCAAGCTCCGACAACTGCGTCATTTCCCCGTGTTGCAAACAACACAAACAACACCTGACGCGGAGTGCTTACTAAGCTCATTTTTCGCGGTTCCTGTCCATCCCAACGCCTTTTCAGACGACCAACGACTCTTCATTTGACAACACAAATCACAATGTACCACATAGAACTCCTCCCCAACTCAACATCCCACATCACACCAGGATGGACCTACGTACCCGATAGAGGCTTCGACCCCGCAAAAGCAGCCATCACGCCGGCGATCGGCAGAAAGCGAGGAATCCGGGACCCAGGCGGTCGTGGCGATCTCTCGTCGAGGGAAAATAATGCGATTATAAGACACTTGGCGGAGTTGGATCGCGAGAATCATAGGGATGTGCAGATTGCAGTTCCGGTGAAGCAGAAGGAGCCAGCGGGGAGGGGTATGTTCACCGAGCTAGGATTTTTGTGATGGGCTGGCTGACGACGGATAGGGACGAGAGGAAAAACGACGACGAATACGCGGCGTATATTGCAATCTCAGAAGACGTTCCGGAATCATCTTGATGATGAAGAGGCACATTTGTCGCAGACCACGCAGACTACCGCGAGCAACGCGCCTCCGCGTCTTAGTATCAGTAGCAAAGTGACGAAACCTTCCGCGCGAAGGAGTTCAACGCCTCTGACAACGCCAAAGACAGAACCTGCAACAAAGCAACGAAAGCAATCCGCTGCTGCACAGCAGCAACGACAACAACATCAGCCGTCAGAACCACCCGCAGAAACATCGAAACCAGACACACCCGCCGAACCTACCGCAGAAACAGAAACAGAACTCCCGGCGAAAAAGCAACGCCTAATCGCCTCGGAATACGATAATGACCCTCTCCTCCGCTCACGTATCCCCTCCGCGCCCTCAGAACGCATCATGCAGGCCCTTCTATCCGAACCGCCGCTAAGTTATAACGCCGCGCGCGCTGGACCGCCGGTGACGAAAAAGGCGCCACGGTTCTTTTGCTGTATATGTGGGTATTGGGGGAAGATTAGGTGTCGGAATTGCCATGTGCGGATGTGTGGGTTGGGGTGTTATAAGGTGCATGAGGATTCGAGGTGTGGTGCTTTTCTTTAATCGGCATGCGCAATGACCTGACGAGATCTGCTCGAAGAACATGGCTCTTTTTTTCATGCCATTATTTTGTTCAATGATACCCATATTTGTTCACATTATTTTTAATCTACAGCCATTCTCAGTACCATTCAATATCCTACAAGAACAGTTTTAACATTATGGAGCACGGCGTACGGGGTATGTAACTAATATTCGTACGCAAATCTCACCTTCCCACTGTCAGTCCAACATTATCATAAAAGCTACGAGCTCGAATCACCCACTACCAGTACCACCACCAACTCTCCTCTCATCCAACCTCTCCACAGCACCAACCCTCCCCATCCTCTTTAACCAAACCCTCAAATCGAACTTCCCCTCGCTAATATCTCTCCTATCCCCTACAAACACAAAAAAAAACCCATGTTCCTCCCTCAGTTCCTTCCCATCCGCATACCTAATAAGACAGGCCTTAGCGCGATAACTCCCCGCCTCGTACTCCGCAAGACGCTCTGCGTGTTTCACGGATTGGACGTGATATGCCGCGCCTTCCACCACACTTCCTGGATTTGACCCTGAACCTGAACTAGAGTCCAAAGCAGATCCTGATCCAGACCCAGACGAGACCAATGCCGGATACTGTCCCCACAGCTTACACTCAAACCCCTCGACATACGCGGGCCGGAGTATCGGTTCCTCATCTAGGCCAAGGATCTCAGCGAGTAAAGCAGGATCAGATAACGTGCCGTAGAAGAAGTATCTGCCTGTAGGCGCGGGGACAGAGTGGTCGGCTGGTTTGGGGGGTTGGGAGAGGTAGGAGGGTGGTGCGGAGCAAAGGTTTCGAACGTAAGGGGAGACTTTTGTGGATGGATTTGAGGGGAGTGGTGGTGGTGGTGGTGGTGGACACATCTGTTCTTCAAACATGGTGGTTGGATTGGGAATTTGTTGGTTTTGGTAGGGAGGCTGAAAATGATTTTGAACGTTCATATAGGTAAATATTCCCTGCATACGCATAGCATACACTTTGTGCAGTACTTGTACATGCATCCACTGCACCATGTACTCCGTACATACTGAACAAACCAAGTGAAACAAACCATACCTACATACATGGTACCATACAAGATAAGCAAATGCCCCAGATTCGGCACCTTCCAGTTCCCACAGTAACCAACCTAAACCACGCCCTACGAGCTACATCCTGATTTACCCTGATAAGATAAGCCGATAACCCCTCGGAGTATCCCCGGATCGCAAATATAAACTCTTTCCTCCCATATCATACTTTCCAAATTTCACTCTCAGAACATTCTCAACCCTCTCAATCCAATTCAACACAGCAAAAAACTACACTATGCCCGCCCTCCTCGAAGACCCCCAAAACCACATCCCACCACCCCCCTCCGCCCAAACACAAGCACCCCTCCTAACTCCCCGCCATACAGTCCTCCCCAGATCCTCCAACGCCCCAGTAACCCTCTACCCAGTCACAAACGGCCCCGAATCTCTCCCGCAGGATCTAATCAAGTACCTCCATGCCGAGTTCTCAGCAGAAATCCAGCGCGGGGCGACGTATCCGATGGAAGAGCCCTTGGAGTTGGAGAAGTTTACGGGGTATTGGTTTGGGACGTTTGCTGTTGTTGCGTTGCTGGGGGAGGATAAAGAGGGAAGTGGGCTGATGGAGGGGAGAGATTGGGAGAGTGAGTGCTTGGGGACGTTTTATATTAAGCCGAATTATCCTGGTATGTTTTGATCCCGTGGTATCTTGGTTGATGGCTGGTTGAGGGGAGATGCTAATGGGTTGGTGATAGGGCGTTGTTCGCATGTCTGCAATGCGGGATTCCTAACGACCAACGCAGCTAGGAATAAGGGTGTTGGGATTGTCATGGGCGAAACATACCTAGAATTCGCGCCGAAACTGGTATGTCCACCTACACCTCCCTCCTTTATATTCAATCACACGGATACTAACAGAAACAGGGCTACAAATACTCCGTCTTCAACCTGGTCTTCGAAAACAACACCGCCTCTATCAAAATATGGGAAAAGCTCGGCTTCAAGGTCATCGGGCGAGTTCCTGGGTGTGCACGACTGGCTAATTGTGAGGAATTGGTTGATGCGTTGATTATTGGGAGAGAGTTGGTTTAGCCAAGGCATCTCATTTGTAAATAACTGTTCTTTGGAGATATAGTGAATAACCAATATATTGAAGACAGTCCCAATAGAATACAATGTATCAATGTCAATATCAATAACAACCAACGCTAACCAACAATGCAAATGGGGAATCAAGTGAACCGGTCTCTGTCCCTCAACAATACAAACAACAAGAAAAAACAAGTACCGGACTATCACATGCAAAATGCATAACAAACAAAAAGTCAGAAGGAGATAGTACAAACTCAAAAAACCGGCAATGATATACCAAGAAAAGTGAGGTCACCGCCATCGCGGACGTTGCTCCTGTCTACTCCGCATCCCTGCGGCACTGTCACGACCACTCGGCTTAGGCAACGGAAGCAGACTGATCCGACGATTCCCCGAATGACCAAGCGACGTACCAGGTCGATCACCCTTCGTCGGGCTACTAAGTCTCGCGACGCCAGGGTCGCGCGAGACACTCCGCGCGAACGAGCCCGCGAAGCTCTGCCTGTTGCGAGGCGCGTTAACATATTCGGCCTCCGATTGAGCAGAGGATTTCCGGAGTTTGCTGTATGGCGGTGGGTCGAGGATGGAGCGTGGGGTGGGGGATTCAGAGCGTCCGGGACTGCGAGAGAATCTGGAAGAGAAGCGGCTCACAGAGCGAGGCGGTACAGGAGACGCGGAGAAGTCCCGACGAGAAGGACTGAATGGGATAGTTGACGAGGGTCGCGAGGTGCGACCCGGAGGAGCGGAGGATTTGCGGTTCGCAGGGTTGATGCTAGATAAGGGCTTGTAGGTATGGCCGACGTCCAAATCCTTGGTGTTGGTGCTGCTGGTCCAACGCGGACGGTTGTTCAACGGTGATGGCGTCGGACGGAGCGATTGCCTGCGCGACGCAGGAGTAGGAGTAGCAGCGAAATTAGGCTGGGGCGCCGCAAGCGAAGGCTTGGGAATAGCCGTTTTCTTGCCCGTCGTAGTGGGCGCGGGCTGGGGCAGTCCGGACATTCGTCGAACCTTGGACATGGTTGTCCGGGCCACACTGCCTACTGAGCTACCACGTCGGCTGGAGGAGCCCATAGGCGTAGTTGCACTTCCGGAAAGAATAACAGACGATGCAGGAGAGCTACCCGGCGTGGTATCAGGAATACTGTTGGTAGCCGGGCTATCCATGGTGACGATACTCGAGATGGAGTCACGCAATTGCTGCGTCCTGACGAAATTGATGTCTTCCAATGTTGCGTCCATAACCTTGATGCTTGCTTTCAGCGCATCGGTTCTCGCTTTCATATCAGACAACAGCCTCAATGTCTCCCCGTTCACTGTAAGTCGATCACTAACGCCCTTCTGCACGATAGTAGTGACACGCTCAATGGCCGACACGTAGTGCAGTTTTTTAGCCTCATAGTTCTCGATGCGTTTCGTCAACCCAGTCGGGTTGTTCGTTTGCGCGCCTGCCTCCAAGCTTTCCTGGAGTTTAGCGATACTTCGTTCAACAGACTCGAACATCTTCTGCGCCTGGCCACCAGCATTGCGGAACACCAGGATCCATCGATCTTCGCTGAGCTCTTTCCGCACGGCTTCCGCGTCTGCCTCTAGCACCTTATAGCTGTTCTCCAACTGCTTGCGCCGTTCCTCCAACTCCTCGCAAGCACTAGGGAAGATCCTTTCTGCCCGTGACTGAAACATGGACATCCGCATGGGTAGGAAGTCCAGAGACGCGCGCAGTGGTTGCATTCGTGCAAAAAGAGCCATCAGGTTGGAATGGTTGGTGTCATCCTGGGGCGTCTGGATAAGAGGCGTATCCAAGGTCGGAGGGCCCGCATAGATCGGACCTGTGCTGAATCGTTTGTTGGTTGCCATGTTACCGCCGGACGGTGTTTCCTCCACGATGGTTTCTAGTTCGTTGATGTCCAACCCACCGTGAGACTCCTGATCAGCCCCCGACATGGTCCAATGCCGCTTTTCCTCCATTTCGAAAATCAGTCGGCTCAGGTTCTCAGCTTCCATGCTCACATCGCCCAGCACGGTGCTCCACAGCTCCTCCCATTCCATCGCCAGCTCGACCTGTTCCTTGACGCCCTTTAGTCGTGTCTTGATCTGTGCCCAGCTCTGCAAGATGGTGTCCATTTGCGTGACGATGGTCTTCAGGCCCTGTGGGTCAACGTCGCTGATATCTTCCCGTAACTGCACCTCTTCAATAGCCTTGACATAAATTTTAACCAAGCCTTCAAACCGCTTAATGGCGTTATCAACGCCATCCAGTCCCTCTCGGCCGCCAGCAGCCGCCCATTCCACGTCATCCTCAGCATCCATACCACTCAGGACGTCGGACGCCTTTTTGATCCAAATCTGAATCTGCTCCGATGCTCCCGTCAAAGCCCGGACGGCCTTGGGGGCATTGGGTATTTGCATGATAGTAGTCTCGAGGGTCGATGGTTGCGGTAAACTGATTGAAGTAAGTTGGGAAAGTTGGTTGCTAAAGGAGGCTCTCGAAAACGAGTATATCGATTCCGTGCGATGGAGGCCATGGGGGTTGAAGTATGGCTGCGTGTTCGACGAAGCGCTCGACGATGGGGCGGAGGAGTGTTTGTAAGGAGCCCGAGGGGCAGGTTTCGTCTCATTTTCGCTAGTGCTCTGGATGTACTTTTCGAAATCAGTCTGTTCCTCCTTGTTAGAGCCATTTGGTTCTGGTTCTGGGGCCACAGGTTCCGGTAGAGGCTCAGCCACAGCCATGGCCGCAGGCGGACCGTGTTCAGCCTCGTCAACGGCTGGCGGGGATGTTTCTTCTAATGGTTCGGGGTCTGGGATGGGAAGACGAGGGCTCGGTGGCGGGAGCGATTCTGCTGGTTCTGAATATACGGCTTCCGTCGATTTTGGTTCGTGCACAGGGTCTTCCATCAACGAATCACCTAAACTGGACACACTTTTCTTCCCCTTATTATGATTATGATTATTCTGAATATTCTGGTTAGAAGGCGCACCAGGCCACGCTCGACCTCTTCTCTCGATCTTAACCGACAAGTTCTGGTGTAGACTGTCTAGCTCCTTAATGTGCTGTTGAGGAATCCGACCGATGTTGCTAGGGTTGTTGCGAGACGAGCCTGCCGACTTGTTACTCCCGTCCAACTGCTTCACACGCGCAGCTAATCCCGGGGATAGACGTCGGAGAAAGGAGGGACGGACAAGCGTCTTATCAAGACTGCTAGGAAGCTGGTCGGGACTCTCCCAGGGTTGTTGCTGTTGTTGGTCGTCGTCGTCGTGATGACTGCTCCCGAGACTCCGGATACTGCGCAGGGATGACTTGGACTTTATGCGATGAGGAAAAGGATCGTCTGGAGAGTACACTGACACGGCGGGTGTTGACGGTGAGGAACCCGGTGAAGTGAAAGTGTTGGCAGTCGGAGTTATTGCAGGTGCAGTAATGGTGGTGGTACTGGCAGAGGAAGTGGGAATAGGAGGAGGCGGAGGAGGGGGTGTTTTGGCGGTCGCAGAGGAGGAAGTCGACCCGGAGAAGAGGTTTCGCATGGACATAGGTATTATCGTTTCGCAAGAAAAGTCTGTTTATCAAAAGGGAATGTGTGGTATGTGTCGCTTTGCTGCAAGAGTATGTATTCCGAGGTAGGATTGATTGATCGGGGACGCGACACGGCCACCCTGGCTGGATGAACCAACAACAGGGCAGACTGAGGAATGCTGGCTGTGTCGTCCAATGTAGATGTTTTCTTTCACTTTCTTTCACAGTGTGTCTTCAGCTTGTCTTCTGGAAGTATTCTGGCTTGCTGGTAGTATCCTTTGCTCCCCCCTTTCAGTAGACGTCAGTCAGCCGGTAAAGGCGGTCGATCCCAGTCGTCAGGTTGAAATGCAGATAACTAATAAGTAGTATGCCAGAACAGGAAAAGAGAGAAAGTCGGCTACATGATAAGCCGGAAACGAATTATTGTCTGACCAGCGAGGGGAATTATTGGAAAGGAACAGGGAAAAAAGAGAGGAAAGAGAGAGCAGGGAGAGATTGATGAGGAAAATCCACGGGCGTTGCTTTCACTCCACTATTAACGGCGTGTCCACCGGCGTATTCTACAAAGTATGTACTTGTACAGTAAAGAAATGCAGCTAACCGGGCATTATTGGCACACTATCTTTCTTGCCTCTTGTTTCGTTTTGTCTTTCGCTTTCGGATTGATGCCTCATTCTTCTCTCCTAGTGTCTTTCCCTTTTGAGAGCTGTATACTTGTATTACCGTACCTGAAATTACAGGGGTACATGGGACACCGCCTGCCCAAACCATAGCTATGCACGTGTCCGATGTTCTGCTCTCAATCTCAAACACTTTTTCTTTTGTTTCATCGCTTTTTGTTCCTGACAAGTGGCCGTCTAAGATTATAATACGTGTCATGGTGTGGGTTGCCAATTTGGTTTGCGGGTGTTTAAGTTGATGATGTCGAAATTAGGACCGACATTGTCCCCGAACGTAGCGTTGACGTACACAGGCAGATTGAGATCATTACTGACTAGAGCATGAGCAATTGACTTTGAGCCCTACCCGATAGCTGTCCTTGCAGAGTTCAAAATATATAGAATCAGTTTGAGATTGATGAATTGCAAACCTAGATCCAGCACAGACATCCGAAATCACGAAACATTCAAATCCATCCATTTGTACAACCGGACCCCCTGATTGGATGGAAGAAGGCTGGCCAGAAGAAGTAAAAAGACTATACTATATACATGCGCTGCCCGTTCAGAAGATGGGAAGATGAAGTTGAAGGTCAAAATAAGGGGTGAGGGTATCTAAGAGGACAGCCTGTCAAGCATGCTGGACGAAGGGATACATAAATAAATGCGTAAGCAAGAACAAAGTGACAAAGAAGAAAAAAAAAAAAAAAAAAAAAAAAGAACCTGCCTCTTTCAAGGCACATCAAACGGAAATAAAAGTAACATGTCATGCAAATTAGTTAGGATATACCGTAGTGGTAGCGTTGTCGCCCGATGATGGCCACCAGTCGCGCGTCAGTTCCTCCCGGACGGTTTTGCACCATGAAAGCAGCGTCGAATTGAACTGTTTCCATGCTTCGTCGTTGCTGCCATACACCACACCCAAGACGTCCATGTCCAGCTTCGCCTCGAATCGGATTTCTGCTGCCTTGAGCCAAAAACGCAGGTTTTCGGCGCAGCGGTACGGCTTGCCAATGTCTTGGTGGTAGGACTTGATCTCGCAAAAAGGACGCTTCGATTTCTTGATGGCCCGATTGTGCATCCGAACGAGGTCACGACCATCGCGGAGTCGCTCCAACAAGGGTGTTGGGAGGGAGGCGCCGTCGGTTGAAGTCCAAGTCGGCAACGAAGTGTCCGTCCCCATCAAGCTGCGGAGGAAGGCTTCTTCACGCTCCCCTTCCCTACCGGTCCAGTCGCCATGAGCCCAAGTCCAGCTTTCACGTTCTTTGGTTTCTGCGTCTTCTACTTCACGCTCTCGGGCCAGCATGGCGCGCACATCGGACATCCAACTCATAATTGCTGTGCGCTCGTCCTCGCGCAGTCCACCAGAGAAGTTGCGAGATGCCCAGCGCTTGAGAAGTTCGAGAACATGGAACAGCGCTTGTCGAATCTCTCGTTCGCTCTTGACCGTCGCTAATAGTTCTGGACGCTCGTGGGCCGTGTAATAGATCCTAGCAGCACGAATCGCCAGAGTGACCACGTCCAAGATACGCATTCCCTGAATTTCATGCCACGCCTGTGGTCTTGGAAACGGAGGCTCGTGGCGCGATTCATCTTCCGAGTCTACATCGGGAGAGAGACTGATCCGTGGAGGGTTGAAACCGGGAGGGGGCTCTTTTTGCGACCCAATATCCTCAATTTCTCTCTCCGCTCTCTTCACAGCATCCAGCAAGTCTTTTCGTAGGGCCGGTAGATCGGGTGGAGGCGGGATATGGTAGGTTTTGATACTATATGTGCTCACGGTTGGTGGGAGCATGACTTCGCCATCGTCGTCGAAGCCATCCTCGGTCGGTTCGAAAGATTCGTCGTCGGTGGGACTCTCCGACAAATCATCAGGAATATACCGGGCATTGGGCGTCAACAACAACCTTGGCGTACCATCGGGCATCTTCTTTTTCTTCTTGAACTCGCGCGCCTGGCCACCTTTACCATCCAACAATCCCGTTCGAGCGAAATAATACTGTAGGTGAGCGATACTGCCTAAACTCATAACGCTCTCGCGATGTTTGGCGGAGTCGGCGAATTCGGCACCTTGCGGACGGATATACCCGCGTCTCCTGGACCCGACGGAAACGGCGGAGGTAGCAGACGAGGCCGAATGCGACGAAACGGTGGAAAAGGTGCGATCTGGAGACGGGCAGGACGAGATAGCGGGCGTGGGGAGGATGTCGGGTGAGGGCGATCCAGGCCTCGCGAGGACCGGGAAGGGCTCTGTGTCGGTTGACTCGTCCATCGTGTCGATACCAGACTGAAGTCGACTTGAGAATCCAGGCAGGAGAGGTGTATCGTATGGAGAGGCCAGATGTCGTGTGCTGGTGATAGGTTGCGGTGGTGGTACAAGATTATTAACAGGCGTAATATAACGAACCCACGGCCAATTTCGGCAACGGTTTAGGTTATATGGAGCTGTAATACCGAGCGAGTCAGGCTATATAGGTAATAGTACCAATAGTAATAGGGATAAGAGGTGACAATGAGGATGATCAATTGAAAGAGGTTCGAAAGGGGGAAAGAGAAAGAAAAAAAGTGAGTTCCTCGACGGAGTACACTAACTAAAAGGGGGGTTCAGATGCGGGTCGAGTGTGATGAAGGGCCGAGGGGCCGGTGCAAAACGCCTTGCCTTGGGGTCCTAATTAAATATTAATAGATCGGGAATGATGACAGCACTACTCCGTGTTCTGTACGTAGTCAGTTAGGTAACCCCTGATAGTGTTATTCATGTATCATGGTGAAGTATCACTCCACCGATTCTACCAGTCGAGGTACAAGTGTATGGTACGCGTTGACACTTTTCCTCTTTCATGCTAGCGTACCGGTACCTGAATTGCCCCGCGTCCCGTCGGATTTCAAGTGCGGATCATCCCGTGATCATCTGTAGTCCTTATGTACCGGGATGCATCATCCTGAGGAATATACATGGTCACAATGCGTCATGGGCCGGGAGAAAAGATGCTAATGTCATGCATAACTAGTGTACAAGTCTCTAGACCTAACTCCGTGACATCCGACACTGAACCCACAGAACCACCATAGCCAGAATAGTACAAGACACCTGTTCAAGTCGATGCCTAATCAATCTCCTTCGTCTAGGCGGTGTTATCCTATGGTCGCCTGGTGTGTGTCGTCCAGATATACCGCATCCCATTCTTTGTACTCCTCGCAAATGTCAAAGTGGCCATTGTTGCAGATCGAGCAGCGGTAAGCAGCTTCGCGTAAAGTCCGAGCTCCACAGATATCGCAGACTAGGCCGCAAGTATCCTCGAATTCGTCACCGTCGCTGGAAAAATAAATTGGAAAAGCCTTGTTGCAGCCTTATGATAGGAGCTTTGTAAGACGAGGTTTATGTCTCTTAGCGTCGATGGGTGTGGTACGACCAAAGGTATCACTTGCATCTTGGTCAATATTTGGAACCTCAAGCAGTGCTGTCACAACTTGGTCCATTCCTCGGACCGTGGCGCCCATTAAGGGCGTGCGACCATATTCATCCTTTGTGTTTGGGTTGCTTCCCGCTTTCAATTATAGTGCCACTAGTTCCTTCACGTTGAATTTACGTTTGCTGCCAAGAACAATAGTGTTCACCCTTCCTCATCCATGATGTTTGGATCTGTTCCATACCGAAGCAACATACTCACTACTGCTTGCGGATCTCCTGCTGCATCGTGATACTGCCACTTCTTGCCTGTTTCAATCTTCGACTTACGAAATCATCCCAGAGCTGAAACGAGAAGTTGCGAGAATTTTAATGGGTGTCTCTCTCTGGAGGGTAAATATTGCCGAAAGTAAGGTTGCAATTCGCTTGCATTGGAAGAACAGTACTTGTTAAGGGCATCAATAATAATGAAGACCATTTTTTCATGAGTTCGATGTCTTCAAAAGCTCTGTTTGAACCTTACTGACACTCAGACGCGTCCCTCTGGGTATGATGCGCATGCATATGTTTGATATTGCAAGGAGAGACGAGCCTTCAACTGCGACTTGCCTGAGAGGATTGAGAAAGAGGTCAAGCGTGGTTTGTAGGTGATTCGGTTGATAACTGCAAAACATGCACGCAATTTGCACCTCCGGGTCCCACAAACTTTGTCTTTAGATGGTCTGCTATAACGGCGGGCATTATTGTTTCTCCAGCTCCTGAAATACCCGGGCAGAACAACGTTTGTCAGGGCTGGCCTATCCACTGAACGGATTCTTCCGATTCTAGAAGCAAGAGGCCTGTTACCTCTTGCCTTTGCACGAGGATGTCATTTTGGTGAAGATCGAAGTCAAATGGGGTAATCTATCGAGAATACGCTGGAAATTCTCGGTCATCGCGAATCTGCTTATCTTCGTGACTTCACCATGGACTTATTTAATGATGTTAGATATCAGATTCAAGATTCTGCCGAAATATCTCATGCTTTCATTCTGAACCGGAGTTGACCTTGATACGGAGTATCCTTTACTGCAGGTTCGCCATCGATAGCCTTTGGTTATATATGTTCCAGAAACTCTTTCGCACATGCTGCAGCTGCTGCCACAGCGGCAAATGGCTGCCAGTGGTCATTTTTATGAGGATCAGCGTAGTTTCTTCCCAAAGTCAGACCACAACATCTCCACTCTCAGGGCTGCGGCTTATGACAATGTCGCCCAGACGGATATCCGGATCATTGTCACCGTTGGGTATATCTGCACCGATTTTAACAAGCATGCCGACACGAATTCTCGGAAAGCTGAAAAGTATCTCTTTGGCAGCTGCTGCGGCGGAAAAGGTACCTAGCTGGTGCATGGGTAAACAGGTCACCATGACTTTGAATATTTTTTCCCCATAAAGCCCAAGGTGTACGAGTTGTTGTCCGCTGCGGATGGTGGGGTTTACGGCTCTCCATGCTCCTCATTCATCATACCTTCTGCCGCTGCAAATTCGGTCGACAGCGCAGATCCATCCAACTATGTATTCTTCGTCCGCGAAGGGGGATTGCTATACAGTCATCATGGTTTCGCAATTCGTTTGGACAGGTGATTCGCGCGCCTTTCACTACACAAGACATCACTGATTGCGGATAGGGCTTTTTATCATTCCCCGTTGAGCTCGAGTCAAAACGTTTACAGTGTATTCTCAAAGAACACATTCAACCATCATATTGCGGCTGAGTTTATACGTGTTTGTTGGGCATCTAACCCCCCCATAGTTTCCCCAAAGGCCTGTTCAAGTGGTCTGAGCGATTGCTAGGTAGCTATGTCCCCTCAGCCCTACAGGTCGCAGGATGACCAAGCACCTAATGAGCATGTCTACTGAGCCGCGGTGGGCAATTACCTCGTATGTCGAACACCAGCCAGTTTCACTCAATTGGAAAGAGAGCGATGCATTTCAGTCCAGCAGACCAATAGAAATTAACTCAAAATAAGAATTTAAGTGCAGTAGAGGGAGAAGAGCGACCAAGAAACGACAAAGGGAGATGTTAATAATATTGACCACTAATGCGACCCAACCCCATAACTCCATGATATCCGCTGAATCCACAAGAACCACTCTAATAAAAACGCCATCTACTATACAAGTGGATACCCAAATGGATATCTAAATAACCTCTTCCCTCTCCCATCCAGTCGGTTTCAGCTTATCAATCCCCTTGCTCGGATGTGCTTTGCTGGAATCCTTATACGTGGACGTATACGGGTTCGGATCCGCTCCCTGATTGAGGTTCCCCAGTGTATGGTTCACCTCCCTGTGCTTGGCCTCGTCGGCCCGCACGTACAGTAACAGGTCCCGCATGGTGCGGTGGCCCTCGGGCATTTTCCAATACTGGACCGCGATTTCGGGTGCCTCCATCTGCGCCCAGTCTGGAAGTGCTCCTGTCTCAATCTCTTTAACGGCTCGGGAATATGTGACGACGGCTTCTTCTTCAAGGTAGCCGACAAATCGATGACAGATGCGTGGGGAAATGAGATAGGAGATGAAGAAACTGTTGAAGAACACGCCTTGGGCCCCGAGGACCATTAAACGCATGAACATGCCGGGTTCGGCGAGCTTCAGGAACGTTAAAAGGTGCATGCGTTCGTTGTGTGCTTCTTCCAGCAAAGTTTCGATCCTGTACGGGTTGGCATGTTTCCCTATAGCTCGGGTAGGTAGAAAACTCACCATCCATTATCCCTCTTCATGCGTCGCAGACTCCTCAAGTGTCGCAACATGCCTCCCACAATTCCAGGAACACCAGCCACGCTTTCCAGGAAAACAAAGCGCGTGAGCCACTTTCTCTCCGTCATTTTGAATTTGGGAAGGTTCTCTTCGCCCAATCCGGGATGCCGATACCCCGTTACAAAGTCCATTCCCCACCGCATGAGACGAACAGTTCCGAGCGCCACCCAATCGGCCCAGTCTTTGGCGTCCCGATGGGCGACGGTAACCTTGTTCATCTGGTCATAGGTGTATCTGAGAAGTCAGCATACTGTCATCATCTGTTGGAGAGCAAAGACAGGAAAACTTACACTGGGTGCGACCATGAGGAATCTACCTCCTGGATGTGAGATGCCTTTGGCGGAGGGAAATATTCCTGAGTCTTGTTCGGCGTCGACGAGATGACTCTCTTTCCGTGTGTCTGCTGTTGGACTTTATTGACTGCCAATGGGGCATTTCGCAACCCCGTTGTGGCGGCAGCATTTGTATAGTTCCGGACAGCAAGACGCAGGTATGGCTTGGGGAACGAGGCAACCCGAATGGGTGCCGTTGCCGTAAATGAATTCATCATATTGATGGTATGCAAAATGTAGCAGAGAAATCTTGAGATCTCCTGATGCTTGATGCAAGAATCATGCTACAGCTACCCAAGGCCCATTTATATCTACAAAAGCCCGCCCAGACAGACACAACAAGGCAAAAACCGGAATACCAAAGGCGAATCCTGAAAACTCTTCTCGGTCATCCCCCTACCAATTCACCCTCATTTGGCTGACCGTGTACCAAATCCCGTTTGGTTCGGTCCCCTTAAAGAACAAAAACCGGGATCGAAGACCGGAAACCCAGAACTTACGGCGAACTTACAACGAACGTCATACTCCCACCTTAGTCCCACAACCACTCTGTCCCCATAAATAGCACCCAACTACCTCATCCGCATAACAAGATTGCATAGTGATCATCACACAAACTGGAAGTGTGTCGAATTTCCTCCCCATTATGTTTCTGCCATGGTAAATGGGGTTTCTGTGCTCGGCGTTTTGTCGCCCTTGTCACGGGATTACGGGCTGTTACGGTATTTTTACCAGGACCACTACCAACTGGGCCGGGTGGCCATGTGACTTTGCTCGGGTTGGATCGGGGTGAGATGATATGATATGAGTCAGTTTGGCTTGTCTCTTTTGGGTTGCGAAAATAAGTCGGCGCTTAGGGCATAGATACGAGGACACTCGAGACGGTTGTTTTGATGCTTGTGAAGACACGGGCTTCTTGACGGTTGTAAATTTCATGTGGGAAGCGGCGTTGCGTTATTGATATGCATATCTACGATTCGTATGTACTGGATTTCTAACACACCTACTCGTAACTATACGAACTTGCTCACATGGGTCATCCGCTTCATTGATCATTTCGTAAACTGGTATACACAAACCTCCACCTAGAGCATCAAAGCTAATCAAAGCTAATCAAAACTAATCACCGAATCCGACGTCCGTCTCACAGCATAGTGACTCTCCCCCTCTTCAGGCGTAATATCCTTCTTCTGCAGCTTTGTCACATGTGCCAGACGAGGCCCTTTGCCAAGTTCCTGGATGAGTTTTTGTACGGAGTTCTGATCGCCTTGGGCTTCGCCTTCGACCTGTGAAATTTCAGAAGCTGTCGGGCTGTGTATGCAGTTGGGGCCGTATGCATGTTGTTGACGATAATAGCTCGGGGAAAGAAGATGGGAAGAAAGGAATGGGGCAGACAAACCAGCCCGTCAGAGGTGTTCTTCACCCAGCCCTTGAGGCCGAATTCAGCAGCGCGTCTTTGGGTAAAGTCCCTGGTCAGCGTTAGCAGATGCGGCGCATTGAACTGGGGCCGTGTAGCTAAACATAGACAACGTACCGGTATCCGACACCTGTACAGTACACCTGTCAACACGACTGCTCGAGTAAATGAGAATTGTATCACATGGACAGATGCTTGCCTTGAACTGTGCCGTGGACTTTGTATGCAATCTTGATAGCATGTTTCGGTTAGCATAATGTCATCTTGATAAAGCCTTGATAGAACCTCGAGTCGTGAGGTGCGGAATACATACTCGTTGAGCAGACATGATGAATATTCACGCAGCTGAATGTCTTTCAATTCAGACTCAGTGTCTCGTTGAGAATGCGTTTGATGCTCGTGATATCATCCCAATGGATGCCCTGCTTAGTCATTCTTGCCTGAGGCATAATAGCTTAAAATAGCTACGAGTAAATAGCTACGAGTCAATTGATCTTCAACAACCCTCTCTTCCAGCTTGGATTAGTATTCATATAAACCTTGATTTGATTTAGCATAAATAGTCAATTGCACTCTAATACAACGATATCAATAAGCGTAGGACAAAGGGTTCATAAACAACCACCCTGATTGGATACTTGTCCTCCGCCCCTGATCTCCGAACCGACGATAACCCATTATCAAAACCACCATCTCTCGACGCTTTTCTACGGGAGATGCATGCGCGATGCTGGTGCTAAGATGACTTCTCTCCTCTCCTGGTTCCGACGAATTTACTCCCTCGATACCCTCGATACTCGCTTCACTACATCCGCCACCACTCCCCTCAAGGCCACTGCGGACACGCGACCTGCTTCGAGCAAAGATGCCCGCGCAAATGCCATTGCTAGCAGTGCTCCGCCGGCCAAGTGGCGCACGCCGGAGTTTTATGTTTACTATGTGGTGTTTCTCATCTGTGTGCCGTTGATGTTCAAGACTGTGGTGGATGTTTCTAGGAGTGGGTTTTGTCTTTGCATCCAGACGGAGGTTGAAGTGGTGCTGATTGGGGATTATAGAAAGCCATCCGACTTATTCGACCTATTCGCATTTACTTGAGCCCGGTTGGATACCGGGTCGCAATGTTGTGAGTAGTCTCCTGAGGCTTCAAATCTCGGGAACGTCTGCTAACAGTCGCGAATAGGACAACTCCGACGCACAGTATGCGAGCTTCCGCGAAAACATACCCTACCTCTTCCTCCTGCTAGTCCTCCACCCATTGCTCCGCCGTGTATACGAAGCCTATTTGCGCCGCTCTGATGCCAACAGCGGTGGCTACCAGAATACCACCGCCGCTGCTGGAGATGCTCGTATGGAGCAGCGGATACGATTCGACTACTTCTTCGCTCTGGTGTTCATAACGGTTCTACACGGTATATCTGCTTTTAAGGTTCTCGCGATTCTGTGTGTGAACTATAAGATCGCCAGGTGTCTTCCCAGGGCACAGATTCCCGCCGCGACTTGGATATTCAACATCTGTACGCTGTTTGCGAATGAGCTCTGTGGTGGATATCCCCTTGAACGCTTTGCTAGGCTGTTCGCGGGCTCTGGAGGCACGGGGGGGAGTGAGTCGGCCATGGTTTTGTGGGCTCAATCATTGGATAGCTTGGGTGGATTGATGCCGCGGTGGGAGATTCTTTTCAACATTACGGTTTTGCGGTTGATCAGTTTCAATATGGACTACTATTGGAGTCTGGAGTATCCGTCCACCAGCCCAGTCGAAGTAGGTTCATTTGGCTTCCATGGATCCTGAATTGTTGCCTAACAGACATAAGAAGAAGCAGCTCGATCCGTCAACCCTCTCCGAACGAGACCGTGTCAACATCCCCGCGGACCCCTCCGCATTCAATGCCCGCAACTACGTGGCATACTCCCTCTACTCGCCATTATACCTAACGGGCCCCATCATAACCTTCAATGACTACATCTCCCAGCAGCGCTACGCACCTCCATCTCTCACACGTACTCGTACCATCCTCTACGGAACTCGCTTCCTTCTCACCCTGCTCAGCATGGAACTTATCCTACACTTCATCTATGTCGTTGCTATCTCCAAAGCCTCTCCGAACTGGTCTCTCTACACTCCCGCCCAACTCAGCATGATGGCCTACTTCAACCTGCACATCATCTGGCTGAAACTACTCATCCCGTGGCGCTTCTTCCGCCTCTGGGCGTTGATAGACGGCATCGACCCTCCCGAGAACATGACCCGCTGCGTATCCAACAACTACTCCGCCTTTGCCTTCTGGCGCGCCTGGCACCGCTCTTTCAACCGTTGGATCGTCCGTTACCTCTACGTCCCTCTCGGCGGCGGCGGTGGCGGCACCAACAAAGACAGCCGCAACCCTAACAGCGCCGCCAGCAGCGGCTTCAAATCCAAGGCGCAGCGCATCTTCAACTTCCTCGTCGTCTTCACCTTCGTCGCCCTCTGGCACGACATCAACCTCCGGCTCCTTATGTGGGGCTGGCTAATCACCCTCTTCGTTCTCCCCGAAGTCCTCGCCACGCTGTCTTTCCCGGCAAGTCGCTGGCGCTCTTATCCACATACTTACCGTGTGATTTGTGGTGTTGGCGCCGTGGGTAATATTCTCATGATGATGATTGCGAATTTGGTTGGGTTTGCGGTGGGGATTGATGGGATGAAGGGACTTTTGGAGGGGATTATGGGGTCGTATTCTGGGTTGGTGTATTTGGTGGCTGCTTGTGGAGCGTTGTTCGTGGGCGTGCAGGTTATGTTTGAGATCAGAGAGGAGGAGTTGAGGGCTGGTATTAGGTTGAAGTGTTGATTTGTTTTCTTATTCGGGGGGTTTCGTGTGTTACTTTGTGTTGCAGGATAGCCTATTTGCGAGCATATTTATTAATAGAATACATGGTATTTCAAGTTTTGGTCCATACGTTATCTTCGATGGTATGGCTTTTAGTATATGATTGCAAGAACTAGCTGCCAGTGTTCTCTACTTTTGCCAACAATCCTACTTTCATCCTTCAAGATTCTCCATTATCCTTCTCCATAACCCTGCTAAGGAAACTCGATTTTAATACTATTACCATGTTTACTCGTCAAAAGGAGACGTACCCCACAATTGCCCTCCAAGATATCCCCATTTGTTTTGTGCTCCCCTCGATTGCTTCTTTAAGCACCAAAGCCATTCCCGCCAATTGACCTCTTTGCAGCGCTCACAGGCCTCTACTTCTTCTACAGCATCCTCTCCGATCCTTCTCTTCTCGCCAAAATCCTCGACCTATACTACGAACCAACACTCCGCCCGGCGCATACCATAATACAAAAAAAAACATTGGCCCAGTATCCGGCGCTACTTGATGCGCGTGGGGAGGTTGCTGAAAGTGTATTTTATCATGTGCGAACTGTGAGGGATGCGGAGAGGTTGGTGGGGTATGAAACGGGGAGGTATTGAGCAGAGGCTTGTCTTGTTAGATAAATGGTTGGTCAGAGGCCAGTGAAGGATTTCGAGTATACCTTTGAGTTTGTAGGGGATCTGGGTGATTTGAGGGAGGAGGTTTTTGGTTTGAGGTCTTGGTTGGAGAGGAGGGGGAGACAGGCGGTTGATTGATTTTGGTTGAATTTGGGAGGGATCATTTTAATAAAGCGTATAAAATGAGATGAGGTATCTTACATCGTTCAAGTGTAATGTTAACATCAAACATACACCCTACTTCCTCCGAATCACAAACCCATCCCCATGCCTACTTGACAGCTCATATTCTCCACCCACCAAATCCTTTATCGTCAACTCCGTTGTCCGCCCCAAACTCTCCAACTCATCTAACCGCTCATTCGTGGCTTCCAAATGCGTGTCAAACCCGGGTTGACTGCAAATCGCCCGGAACGCATTCTGCATTGGCATTGAGTCGGCTCTGACCATGCCATCGGCATCAATGGCGATGATGTTTTGTTGGTCGAGTCTTGGGATAAAGTCAGCTCGTGTCATTAGTTCTTGGACTTTGTGGAGGGGGATTCTGGGGAGTGAAGAGGGAGTCGGGTTGTCGTTTTCCATGGAGACTAGGGCTTGGGCGAGGGTCATTGCAGCGGCCTATACATTACAATGTTAGTATTCTTTAAACAGAAAAGACAGCTTTGGGGAGATATGCATACGCAGTAATCTTGCTGATGCTCAACTTCGTCATCAATATCCCGTCCCAAAATCCAGCATTGCGAGAGAAGCCAACGCTGCTCCCGTTGGCAAATGGACTGCGCGGTCTCGAACATGTCCCTCGACCTTGCGACCTGGTCTAGGAAGATAAGTCGTCCTCCTACTCGACTATATATCTCATCCAGTAGAGAACTCGATATGCTTTCTCCGCGCGTTTCCGCGCGATACTTCCTCAAAGCCTCAACCGCGACATCCCGCGGCACATCCCGTACATTCAACAATTGCATCCGCGTTGCATGCAATCTCAGCGCCTCTGTCGTACGATACTTATCACTCGTGAAAACAAGAGTAACAAGCCCACTAGCCGCCCACAGCTCCGCGCGTTGCTGCAGCAAATCTAGCAGCCGCTGTCCATCCACATCATCCGAGATATGATGGATATTGCTAATAATCAGCACCAGAGGCCGACGACGGCCATGGCTCGCATTTCTGCGCTGTAATGCTATTTTCTCAAGCTTATTTAGAGCTCTCTCAATATCTAGTAATGGCGTAGCATCGCGCGGCCCTTTCACGCTAAAAAGACCCCCGATGTAATCCTCGTGGTATTCATAGTCGAGAGCCTTTCCGAGCCGGAGGCGGAAGACTTCATTGTCACTGTGAGCTTCAAACATGGCAACCCCTTCGCCATCAACCTTTTGCATCGAGGCTAGCAACATAGACGACTTCCCCGTCCCTTTCTCCCCGAAGAGCAGGAAGTAATTTCCCCTCGTGTTGCCGCTAATGATAGCATCAACCAAACCCTGTTCCGGTCTTGCAATATGAAACATATGCTCAGCATCTCCGTACTGCGCCAAAGCAGCCTCTTCAAGCGACGAGAACAAACCACCCGCAAACGCATGATCAATCTTCCGTAGAACTTGTTTCTTGTAGTACTCTTGGTACCCATATCCGCCTAGCCCAAGCATAAGCAAAGCTGCTAGCGTTGTTGCACCAGTCTCGAGGAATTTGCGCAGAATGCTTTCTTGCTGGTCATCATCCGATTTGCCAGTATTTGATCCATATCGGAGCCTGTAAGGTGCTACCGCTCTCCAACGACTTGGTGGAGGGGTGGCACCTCGTCTGAGTGCTGGCAGACGGAGCCAGAGTTGTGCTACTCAATTGATTAGCAGATGGGGAGTGGCTTAGATTGGCTTGTGGTATGTACGGTACCGAATGCATTTGGGCGGATTCTGCGAGGCATTTGACTGGCTCTGCTCTCAATGTGCTATTAGGGTGGTTCAGTTGATTCGATGTCCAGACCAGGTATTGATATATGACGATCACCTGAGGGCGGTGAGCGAGAATCTGTTCGCCTGCTGTCCAAATTCCTATAGGTCTCTAAATATATATCCCATCTGGTATCGGTATATAACAACGAACTATATTCAGGACTCAAATGTTGCCCAGGTCCTTCTTGATTAACAACACCATCACCGCTTCTAGTTAATGATAATAAATAACTAACTGAAAATTTACATGCCAATAGGCAATGGAGAGCACAACCTAGGTTGACTAATTCCGAAAAGAGTATTTTTTCAAGGGCTCGATGTCACTGCCTGAGGTGTCATATACCCGCTATACCAGAATAGGCTAAACCATCCGCCAACAGCCAATCACAGCATAGGATAGGCAACAAGAGTATATACAACGTCAGGGCTACAAGTACACATCAGGAACAAGAGGGAAAAAAAGAGAAAAAGAAGGAGATCCGACGGACAGCTGGGAGTCGAACCCAGTCCTCGTGGGCCTCTAGATGCAAGCGCTCTCCGTTGAGCTACAGCCCGTCCCCGGATATTTCTATGATCTTTTAAGTGATCCATGTATTTAAAAAAAGAGGTGCCTAAGGATACATAATAGTACTATTTTGACCCATGCATGTTCATTATAGCAAACAAGCCATTGTGAATAGCGTTTTCTAAAATGTAGCTTAGCCAAGCACGGTTGTATGTGAGGATAACAAAGTACATGTTGTCTTGATTTTGCGAGATTATATAAGGCAGCTGTGATTATATGGTCAGATAGTTTCATGAAACTTATAAATACTTGGGTGTTCTTTAGTATTGAGAGCCTCATATCCCTATTGTTGTCCATTTCGGAATATTCTCACAGCAAAACTGGTACACTTTGGCGGTTCGAATATTCCAACTTGTCAAGGTGTTTTGATAAGGCATACGCTGCCGCATACATGCTCTGCAAAGGATATGAAGAATTGATCCATGAAATTCTGGAAACTGCTTGTTGGACAATGGCTGACATCGAAGAAAACCCGAGAAGAGAAATTTAGATCCATAGGGTTACGCTTCATTGACATTGGCAATAAGAAGTAGTCATCTCATTAGGTTCTTTGTCTCTGTCCTTTCCCATTTGTTCCATGGACTTTGTCCGCAAAGCCCAACAATTCAATATAGTTGTCTGACGGACCATGTGACATGATAGTCCTAATGCAGGATGTTTGAAAGTCACCAATTCCCCACTTCTTTTATCTCGACGGAGAAAGGGTGAACATCGCTGCTTTCTTTGAGCCATTTCGTGTCAATTTTTAGCTTTCCTATCAGAATAAGGAGGGTGGGTGTTGTCGCCAGAATGGCATATTGTGATTATCTCATATAGAAAAGCATCGACAAGACTGACGTCTATATACTGCCTTGCTTACGATTGATGAAGGTATGTATTGGGCTCGACTGAGGAAAATAAGAGACTCAAAATGGGGTGGCATGGGGTTGGGGGCTTCCCGCTTTGGATGATTCATTTCTTCGTTCTCGTACTGTCCAGCTTTTCTGTAGCTGCCGTAAGAGAAAAACAAATCGTTGTCTATGCGGAGACACGATTCCGTTAGAAAGGTTGTGGTTTCTATTTCGATGACCCTTTATAAAAACATCACAGACTCCAGATGGCAGCTACATTCAGGAACTGCCGAACTGCCGCGGAAATCTCCTCGAGCAGTCCTGCGGCCTTTTCTATATGTCAGAAACATCTAATATCCTGCCTGGCATTTTGGAGTATTTATCTAGCCACAGTTCATATCTTCCGTAGCTGTGGGTCTGGCACCACTGTTACGCGCCTGATAATAACCATGTAGACCTTCCATCAAAAGGCGAAGCCCAGGAAAGTGAAGTGATTCTCCAAGCAGAACTTCAGAAAACAATAAGATATATGATGACCTTGTTAAAAACTGCTTCATATTCAAATTCTAGTGAATAGATCTGTCTGTTTTTCCAAGAACAAGAGTAGAACTCATGTTCTGATTGCTAGGCTTGGGCGAGTGGAATGCCATTATTTTCAAAATATGCTTCAATAAATGTACAATCAGATCTTTTATAGTGAGATGATATAGACAAGAGAAAACAAACCGGAAGTGAATAACCCTCCTTTCACCAAAAATGTACATGCCCTAACAGTTTTCCCGTTTTGGTCGAGCGTTGATGGCCTGGACTCACCATTAACCCAAGTTGATCCATATCGCTCTCTTCTCATCACCAAAAAGTGGCCAGCATGGAGGGCAGCATTGTTGTTGGCTCAAATCCAGCAGCTTCTGCTTCTGACTTTGACTCTGAGGACGCTGCTATCTCGTCTTCCGGCTCATCTGAAGAGAAAACCACCGCCATCACCACTATAACCGCTCCGGTTCTGCCCCCTCTGACATTATCACGAAGAGCCATCCCAATAGCACCTCATTACCAGGATCGTCTCACAGCATGCCGTGAGAGCTGTCATGCTGATCTCGAAATCTTGATCAACAAACGATGCGCAAACAATAATAAAGTGTGCAGATACACCTTGAGTGCTCTGCTCAAAGAAGCCGTCGAGCACCCACAGACGTTGTTGCATTTTGCCTCGAGCAAGGTGCGATAGTATATTAGGATTCCATCCTATGGACTGTCTTTGCGAAGGACGCATTTACCAGTTACTCCATCCTCATCCAGCACAAGGCGACAGACCCCAACCGTGTCCTTCTTTGTTACGGCGATTTGCTGGGATTATTGGCCATGGAGAATGAACTTGATGGTATACTTTTTT